ATTCTACACAACTTTCTGTCATTTACTAAATGAACTTCAGTAATAATCAATCATAGTTATTCCGAAATGTGATAGATAACGGATCAATGTGTTCATTAATACCACATTTATTATATGTAAACAGTTTATAACGTACCCTGGAATTTTCTTCTTTTACAAAATAATTTAAGAGAAAGTTGTTTCTATAATGTTTACAATTATTTTTAGCATTTATCGTCAAATGGTTAGTTTATCGATTAATGCATTACCACCTAAAGTGTGATTTAACTATTAACTATTGACCAAGGTAATCAACAAGAAGGAAACGATATATTGGGTTGGAAGCGGTTACATTATTGAGTGAAATAAATTTAAAGCTGGTATTGTATTTATTGCTAAACAGATTGATTTTGACATGAACTTATGAGGTTGATGATGACCTCGATTAGATGGATGATCTATTATTTCACCGAAGCTTATGCATGACTTACCATAGAATCTTGAGATACAGTGTAACTTGTTAAATCTTGTCTAGTTCATTTGTTATCTATCAGTTAGAAACTGATTAAATTATTTGTCAGTTTCATAATCTACATACAGAATAGATGTTATCTTTCATGTTAGAGTAAACATTTCACTTAATTATCGTTCTATGATTAGATCGTTCAATTAAGCAAATTGTTTAGGCTATATTCATTGTAGGTTGTGACCGAAGTGCAGATCATAACACCTATCTCACCATGTTTATGCACTCAGGAATAACAGTACAGTGTGCTTAACGATTTTTAATTTCCATAAAATAATCGCATCATCAAGTTTTATCAGCGAAAGTTTTTTACCAAACAATCAGCTCAAATAAACTATGGCCTCTATTAGTTATGTTTATGTGAAGGAGTTGACGGTAAGACAGGATGTTGTATTTTACAACATACCTAAAAAGCATGACTGCTGATATCAGATAACATGAAAGTCTTACATATAGATTTGATCATTGATGTTCATTTTCGACAGGAAGTAACTAGATTGAAATTGAGCACTTCAACTTGCTGATATCTAATATGCTAAATCATTATTTTATTTGTCCTTGAACTAATCTATCCTGGCCTATCAACATTTCTATACATCGTTTTCATGTTTATTTAAAAATGTATTTCCACTAAATAAATAAGTTTTTCTAACTGGTATAGACTGTTTGTAGCTTTATGATATTCTCGTTACTCAGTGAAACAAATATAAATTACTAGTCAATTTATCGTTATTTTTAGTTTCTAGATGACAATCAGTGAATTTCATTACTTAAGATCATCATGTTAGTTTTGTGATGAGTCACTTGAGGCAACTTTTTTTATCCGATAGAGCTTAAGAATGAGTGTTTCTGGTAAAATGGAGGATTGAAGTATACTTTACTCATACTAAACGATGTTCTATCTTAATATTCTATCGTTGACTTTGCATAAAATTGGTGTAAATAATTCATGAAATGATTGAATATCATTACAATCCATATTAAAACGGATAAAATCGTTAGTTCTTTTATTCAGTGTAATAGTACACTCATCGTGTATAAACTAGAAATTCAACAATCTTCACAACCTTATATTAATAATTATTAGTGTTGCTTTTATTATCATGGTTTCTGACTCTCAGTCGAATGTTTATCGCCGGCTGTATTTTCCTGACTGATTTACTATGTACATATTTGTGTATTTGGCTTTGAACCACATTCTTAGGATGATGAGGTCTAGCGATATTACGTGACTGTCAAAATTGAAATAGATGAGAGGTGCGATACTTGAACTTGTAAACTAATATTTGAAATTAAAAACTTTTCACTTCATAGTCAAAGCAACAGAAATCCATCATCAGAATAGGGGTTTGTGGAGATCGTAGTAATGTTAATAGTTGGATTTATGAGTCGATTAAAGCTAGACCACCATTGAAAACCTAGAAGCACTGGACGGATATTTCATCCTAGTACGAGACTCCTCAGCAGTACATATCCACGATCACACACATGGGACTCGAACCCACGACCTTCAGTCTACAATCTCCACAAACCTCCATTCTAATAATAATAATCATGTGCTCACTAGTGATGGGTTTCAAAATGGATTTCCTGAAGATCTGGTGGGAAGTCGTGAAGTTCAACCGTGTCTGTTGTGAGACAGTTATTCACTGAAGACAATGGTGGATGGTCACGCAATATCATGGATTAGTTGAAGTTAGATATTAACACCGTTGGATACCAGTTAGCTCAGTGGTCTAGAGGTTAATTGTTCTCATGAGAGACCGTAGGTCCTGCGTTAGAGTGTTTTTAGTATAGGATCATGAATGCCCACTTCTGAGGAGTTCCACATTAGGTTGAAACGGCTATCCAATGTTTCCAGACTTTCAATGATGGTCTAAATCAGTACAATTCAAGAAATCTATCAACTTAATGATTATAAAATTGCTTCAAGTTATTTAGTTTTAAACATGATCATTTCTATTCAAATTTAATTTACACTTCTTAATTTGTTTTCATAGACTGTAAAAAATAAATTTTGAAAAAAAAATCAATGACGTTTAAATACAAATCACTTTGTTTTTTTTATGTAAATTTAATCAGGTTTTTTTTATTGATTTTTTTTTAAAAAAAAGAGGGGGAGTGTATAATAATGTTAATCTTAACTTATTCAATTACTGATATCAAAATCGCAGATAAACTTAATCACATATCATTGATTCATTCATTCATTAATCAATAGAACATCTATTCAAAACTTGTGCTATTAGAACTTAATTAGACAACAACAACAACAACAACAACAACAAAAAATGCGCATAAATTTGAAATTGTGAATGATGTTTAATTAATGAGTATTTTGCATAAATTTAAAAACACAAAAAAAATTAACATTTTAATTGTCTAAACATTCCTATCATATAGAAAGATTAATATTTGAATGAAGAATATAAAAGAAGATAAATTCTCTTTAGGTTCTACAATTGTATATCTTAATTAATAATCTGTAAAATGGTTAGATTGAGGGCAAAATGCATCAGTTCAAGTTATTATAACATGTGAATTTAGGATTGTCAAATAAAATTGTTAATGTTGATATGTGACTCACATAGAATGTTAACTTAGATCAGCTTATATGTTAAGTGAAAATTTTAGGATCCGCGATCAGAATAAATAATGGATCAGATAGAATGTGAGAAATAATAATGCAATTACAATTCGATCAACTGTTTAATGGAAGACTATATTGTGTAAAAAATTATTAGTAAGACATAATAAGGTGGAATGAATACTAAGTAAGTGAATCATGTATTGGGAAGAATAATAATTATGTTTAACCAGTAATAATAATAATAGAAAGATTTGTGAATAAATATAACAGAGACAATTATATTTCACAGATTGAAATCATGAGTCGGTTGAAGCTAGACCACCATGGAAAACCTGGAAGCACTGGACGGCCGTTTCGTACTAGTATGGTTAAGTGCTCGCGCGCGAAGCCAGTAGGTCCGGCGTTCGAATCCTGCGGGGTGCGGGATCGTGGATGCACATTGCTGAGGAGTCCCGTACTAGAATGAAACGGCCGTCCAGTGCCTCCAGGTTTTCCATGGTGATCTAGCTTCAACTGACTCATGATTTCAATCTATGAAATTTCTAAAATCTCCACAAACCCCTTCTGACAATTATGTTTGACTACGAAAGGTCGTAAGTACAGTAGCCAAATTAGGTCATTCAGTAACTAAGATTACTATGAATTAATTGGCCTTAAGGTTGATCATAGAAGGAGAAGCGGTTGAAGGTATTCCTTTTGTACGCACAGCTTCAGCCGTTTGAAGGACTTTAAATTTGTAAAACTTTGACAAAATATTACTGATTCGATAAATAATTGAAAAGGATTAGTTTATACTGGCACTATGACCAGTTTGGATTAAATGGGCTATTATCGAGTTGTTTACTTTTTTCACCAGACCTTTGATTAACCATACTGCGAGGTGTTCGTGATCACGAAAATGTAAATTCTTAGAACATTTGTTATTAGTATAACATTACAATTACTTGATATTTATGTGATTTTTATTATCCAGCAAATCAGTTGATTTTTTTTTAAATTACTGGAGTAATTGAAATGATGCAATTAATATGTATAAAGATCTCTGAATGTCAGTCAGTAACAACGTAGAACTTCGTACGTACGTACATCAGTTCGAGTTGCCACACCACATTAGCACAGAGATGCAGTTATCGATTCAAATCCCGTTGTGGTAGAGGCGGTAAGAGTATAAGCAATAATTCAAAAGATTAGGGTTTGAAGATGTTATTTAAAAAGTATAATCCAGTGAAATAAATTTGGAAAGAAAAAAAAAGAGACAAGAAGGATTCAGGAGATTAGAATTTGGGAATGTCTAATAAACACATTTTAAATAATGAAGAATAATTATTGTTCAAGATAGGGATTTTGAAGATGGTGTGTTTTTTCGGATATAAAAACAATCAAATTTCCATGACTAAACAAACCGGTTTAGAAAACACAATACTTCTTAAAGAATTTTAGACAGTAAAATAACAAATTGGAGAAGAATGTTTTAAATTGAAGATAGGTTATAGACTGATTTCAGCTGATTTGCTTGAGTGAGACCAAAATTTGTTGGACAGATGGGACTCCTCGAAATTGTGCACTTCAAACCTCACACAGGGTAGAACCTATGACATTCTCATCTCAAAATATTAAGGAATCAAAGCAATACAAAATATTCCTCCAAAACCAGATTAAGAATTTATTAGTCAAGGATGAAAATATAAATCATGAAGAAACTAGTAACACTACTTTTTTCGGTTGTAATTAGTTCTAACCATGACTTGTTATTAGAATGGCCTATAAGGTCTATAAAATAGGTGTTTTGTTATATCCTATCTGTTTGATACTCCTGATGGACATCGAAACAAGCACTATGCCATCATGTCAAAAAAATCATTAAGTCCCATTGCTGTATATATACTATTGATTTATCTGTTACAGGGAACGTTATCAAGTGACAAAAATGAGTTATTGTTTTCACAATTCAACTGTAATTATAACAATGAACCAGAACTATTTCGCAAAGGCACTGTATTATTTAGAAATAATGTAAGTTGAAATACAAAGTTTTTATTTTTATAAATAATTAATTAACTTGCTCTTATCCCCTCATCTGCATGATATTAGTGAGAAAACTGTTAGAATTCATTGTTTTGACCATCAACTCGATATCAGAGTGATTTCTTAGTTGGTTATACAATCTGTGGTAGTTTTATTTCTTGACAGGATGATTTGTGCTTATTAATTAATAATATTTTCAACGATTCAATGTAATAGGAATATATATATATATATATATATATATATCATTGATGTAGACCTTAGAAACACAATTGTTACACTTTAGGATAAGTAGAATATTCCACTGCAATTAAGATAAATCCTACTGTTTATGTACAAACACACAATACTTAGTGTACGAACGTATTCGAACCATTCGGTTGTATGATCTTTGTGTCTCTATCCGGACAGACTGTGACTCGTTATAACTATCCTTCGTTCAGAGATACTGTATCACAAAATGATGGATGTATTTATCTTGAAGTAGCCTGGTAAAATTAAAAGTCTGGTATGACACACGTGTTATTAATTAAGAATAATTTGTTGGTAAGTATCATTGGATTTCGGAAACTTCTACCGAATTCACGAATGTCCTGAAACCTGTTTCTGAGGACTGCGAAAACGGCAATAAGCAAAAGCATTACAATTGATTACTGACAAAAATCTGGTCTTCAGAGACTAACAACAAAAGGCGCGAATGATGTCAGTGGCATAAGCTAATGTTACAGAGGCGATTTAAGCCCATCAAAGAGGCTGAGGTTAGAGAAACAACAATGACACCTAGTTTCTAACTTAGAAAAGTCGTCGTATTTGTAAATAACTAGGTGAGAAAGAGGCGGATTCTAACTAGTCAAGTTCAATGGAATTGGCTGAGGTATTAACTATGATTTAGGAGCTGAGGCTTGTCCCATATAACTAGTGTCGGTCACAGATAAACTTAACTTTAAAAATAAAACCACTATTTTATTCACTAACGAATCGCCTTGATTGATGTGATTTCTATTATGTTGATCTTCATAATTAAGCACTGTTTAACTGATGTTCATGATCATTTCATTCGAAAAATGTCAGGTTGATTGTAAATGTATCGAACAATTATTCAACTTTCTTCAAGTCCTCATTAGTGATATCCAACTTAAGCTGAATTTTTCAAATTGATATTTTTTACAAATGATTCTATCGGTCAAAAGTCATTGTTGTAGTCTTTGTGATCGATTAATCTCCAAGTAGTGACCAATTATATTTATGCTAAGTCTTTCCTGGTGCATATCAAATTCTATGTTAGGTTGTGATTTCGGTATTACTCCACGTAACTATCTATAGAATCTGGTCGACAGTAAGGACTTGGCATACATGACATTGATTACTACTCAGTTATCAATCAGTTGTAAATGCATCTCAGTCCTACCGTGGGTCAGTTGCGACCCGAATATCTCAGTGACTTCTCTGACTGAAAATGGATAACACGAAGTCGAACCCACCAGGGAGCATCAGTGCCATCAAGATTACAGGCACATCTTGCTGGCAAGTGACCTGTAGTACAAAATCTAGATTCAGGATTTATTGTCGACTATCTCCATACGACTATTTTATTGTCAATATCTGTAATTCAATAACGTATAAAAGAAAGGCGTAAATTTAGTTGAAAACTCTTCACTTGAATAATGTTAACCAGAATGAGCTGCTGGTAAACTGTCATTGGAATCGTCTACGTCAATAATTACCTGTCATGGTCTTTTCACTTACTTCCCTTTTGTATCATAGTACATTCTTTTTATCTAAAATGTGTGACAGAGTTGATTGTTACTACCACATTTTTTCTCCAATAATTTGTAAACAGTCTGCCATTGAACAAGCCAATATCGATATCATCAAAGATCAGTTTTGGGATGAACATCCTTACATATTATTGGAGCCTGAATAAGTCAGAATTGTCGGATTCATTTGTTCTCCAGCCTATCAGTATGCAAATTTATGCATCTATTTTTGTATGTATAAATATGTTTATACATTTTCTCCTGAATTGTATGCATTATTGTACATAATACACTGTATTTACGGAACAAAAATTGCTAATTTATTATTTATTGGTAAACTGACTTTTGTTTTCACTGAAGAAAAGGTTTTCTAGAGTATCATCGATAAATTATGATTTTGACTCGTTTATTATTACTGGTTTTCATACAATAATACGATTTTAAAAACCAGAAGGAATTTAAATCGAATAATCTTGGCTCCCATTGCAAAAGTATGGAGCTTCACTATATTTCATCGATAGTTATCCGCCGTTTCTTTCAAAGTCGTTTACGAATAAGTAGCATTTTGTATTTGGAGCTCTGAACAATGTATCTCTCATTATTGGGTGACACACTTTGATTCACACTTAAATAATGAGCTTACTGGGAAGCTTGTTTCAACTTCAGTTTATGAGTGGCATCCACTCTCATGGTCTCTAAAATAATAGAGTCAATAAGTTTGAATTGATAGTATTTTTAAGTTGTTGAGTTCGGTGATTTAAGCCAAGATTTCTGATGATAGGACAGGTTATGAGAATCACTGATTAAGATTTCAGTGCACTTGACCAGCCAACTGTTATACTAAATATGTATAAAATACAGAACGGGATCGCGTTATTCATTCAGTTTAATGGATTTTGTAACGTCACAATTCACTATGCGCCCTGTACATATTTATTTTAAACTTGCTCTGAGATATTCGTGGGAAATACCACATATACGAAGCAAATCCGCTTTATTAACTACTTAAGCTTTAATGCTCGGTACATTCTTTGCGATATTTGTAAGTCAACTTCTTTGTTTCTATCAGTGATAGACTAAAAGAAAGTACCAATAGTTTACTTTTTAAAACCATGATATTCTAAACAATTAGTGAAATCTCTCAATTTATGCGCTAATCTGAATACAATTCATCCTGATAGTGTTCCAACCAGATTGTTAAATAAAGCCTTTTCGAGTGAGGCCTCAGTCGTCCCTTCTGGAATGGATTCCATGTTCTCAAGGCTCACAAACTCACTGCCTGGATGTAGTTTTGTGAGGAACCGCGGCCGCACATATCTTTACGTGCATCTGTGTATCGTAAGAAGAGCAAGTAAAGGATGCTTGAAGTTCTTACTTACCCTGGATAGGTTTAGTCTACATACATACTAGGTAGCAAACAAACTTCTATCCGAGTATTTTTTTTGTATATATACAGGTATACCTTCCCTGTGAGCGAGTATGCGTTCCATGCAGACCTGTAACACACAGGTTTTACCCAATGCATCCCATAACATACATATAGATATATTGACCCACTTGGTAGGATAGATGTTGACCACTTCCTTAGAGAGGTATTTGCTGCACCAGACCGTCTCTTACACATTACATGCATACCATTTAACCCATGTCTACTGTGCCAGTACTTCCTGATACACACATAAGCATTCTCTCAGGGTAGGTTGTTGGTTGCCCCCCTCTCTCGTATTTGCTACCATATCTTTATTGTTATGTCTTCGAACTGATAGATTAGGTCGTTGATTTTATTAAACAGGGCAATTGACTCTACTTATAAATTGGATAAGTAGCATAAAATAAGCGACAAATATTAGTTTGAATGCAATGTAGTTTACGAAATACGTTGATAACAATGTCCTTGAAATTTTTCCATATTGAAACTGTTATAATAGAAAATTTTAACGAGAACTTCCCACCAGTACTCCTTATGATTGTCTTATTTTAACCAATTTTCAAATAAATATTGTTTTCATATTAACAATCTTTTTTTTCTGCTAACCACCAACATGTGAATGTTGGTGGTTAAAACATATATATTATATTCATCTTGAACATTATCTTACACTTCAAAATCTGGTAAAATGAATGCGTATTTTGAGTACTCCAATCATCATCTATGAAAGAGTGCACCTTATTGTCCCTAAATTTTAATGTCTCAAAATTAAACGGTTGACGGAGTCTTCTATTGAAAATTCATCTCGCGACAAGATTTACATTTGCAAATAAGTGAAGAGGTTTATCAATAGACGATGTATTTTTCCTGATGAACTACATGGTAATATGAGCATACATTTTCACGAACCAGAATGAAATCGCCATTTTATAACGTTTAAACTACTACCGAACAACAATAGACCAACAACCTCGTCCTTTTCTTGACCTTTATTACCAGCAGTTCTTTGTTTGTCTTAAAAAGCCTCTTAATATCCTGTATTCTTGAATGATAACCAATTCAGATCCATTGTATGTCACTTTTCTTCAGTCAGTAACTAATGCTTTCGCTGTTACCTGAAAACTATACATATCAATATGACTGGAATTTAGCGTATCAGTAGTTCTCAATTTTCAACTCAACAGCTTTTTTATGAGTCGATTCACTACCGATTTCTTGGTTTTTGTAATGAAGAATGCTCAGTGGTCTACAGAGTAAACGCACACCCGACAACCATAGGATCCTGCGTTTGACCACTGATATGTTTAAGGGTGAGATAGCTAAGCAAACTGAAATCAGAACAAAAAGTTGTGTACATTTCTAAATCTTCATTTTGATTTGTGATTTTACATGGCTTCATAACTTAAAGGTGTTCATACATAATTCCCAAGTCACTTACCTAACAATTAGCACAGAACCGAACTCAAATAATATGATTTTATCATTCAATGAATATTTACAGGCTGATTTGCAATTTAAGCTTATTTTATGAAATAAAATACGATTAGAGCTGTCATCCATATTTATTTCTTATCAAATTTAATTCTGAGACATCTTAATAGGAATGATAAAGTATTACAGTGGTACTACTTAGGTTTTGCAACAATAGTCTATTACTGTAACAGTACAATCAAAATAGGAAAGTATAAGTATGAACAAAATAAAACAATCGAACAGACTCATAGATGTAAAACATTTACTATCTACTTAAAGATGAAATAACACGTAATAGTTTGGTCAACAAAAGCTAGTTAGAAATAGGAAGTTAGTTTTACACTAGTTTAGACCTGTTCAGAAATATTTAAGTCTTGAAACGTTTGTGAAATCCAAATTGCTGATCATATATAACAATTCTTTTGATAGATATCAGTGAAATAATAGAGGAAACTAAAATTCGCACTTGCCATCCTACCACTAGAGGATTGGATATGAGATAATTAAACCATTACTTATTTATTTATTTGAACACATAAATATTGGTACAAGGGGTACCAGATATATATGCACCACACAAAACAATGAAAACGGGGAGAAAAAAAGAGGAACAATAACGACTAGATTAGTTTAAGGAAGTGTAATAATAACAATAATAATAGTGGGGGAAACGGAAGGGTATAACCAGAAGAAATCTTTAAGTTAAGGAAGATACAACCACTTTTTATGAAGAAGGTTACAGCAGGATCGCCACTGGCTTCTATTCTGAGCCATATCTCATAACTTCTCTAGCCACTGTGTTGCACCATTTCTAGGACCCCAGCCAGGGAGTCGTGAAGGACCAACAGAAGCCAGTCCTTTGTAGCTTTCATTCATCCCACGACACCATGTCATACACTGACCACCTCTCCGCTTTTTCTAACTAGTCCCTGAGTCGGTATATAATGCATGACGAGGAATTCTCTGGGGCGACATTTGTAGTGCGTGTTCAAGCCACCGAAGTCGGTGTATCAAGATGGTGACGCCAATTGCATTATCGTCTGTGCGCCCGAGCACACGGTGTCAAAACTCTGCATTACTAACATGGTGTCGACACTGGATACCAGCAATCCTTCAGAGATAGTGATTATCAAACACAGAGTCGTCTGACATCCTTAACTCAGAGAGGCCAGGTTTCACAAGCATAGAGCAAAACTGCTCTCACCGACGCGTTGTAGATCCGAACTTTAACAGCCAGACTAACATCACGAAGGTGCCAAAGATGGCCCAGATTGGCATAAGCCGCTCTGGCTTTCATTACATGTAAATTGATCTCATCACTCACGCTACCAGCAGCACTTATACAGCTAACTAGATACACGAACTTCTCGACTACTATCTTCTCGCCATCCAGGGTGAGTGCAGGATCAGGGCCCTGTCGGTATTGTAGAAGTACTTTGCACTTCGAAGATGCAAAGCACATACCGTACCTACGGACATTGATTTCCAACTGATTAAGTGCGGCTTGCATGCCTTGGGCATTATCGCACGGTAAGACAATATCATCCGCATACTTAACAGATGCAACTGCTGCTTCCAGCTCATTAGCATGCTCCGACCACCGGGCTTCTCGGTCCTTACGCAAGCTTTGCTCAATTTCATTACATAACAGTCTTCGTTTGTGGTCAAACTCACGGTCACCCGGAGTAGACCGACGGGCTTCAATGAGTTGTAAGGAACCAGAAGAAACCCAGTGCTTAAAAGCGGGACGTTTCGCGAAGCCACAAGCGGCTTTACTCGCCATATTCACGGCGTCGTGAAGTTGCAACCAATGCTCATCTATACTTTTCGGTGGATTGGTAGCTAGCCTAGAGGCTAGCTCGGTTCGGTACTTACTAGCAACAGAAGTTGCAACCAACATGCTGACATCAATTCTTTGGTGGCGGTCACTTCGTTGGCCATTGAAAAGTAAGGTAAGATTGGCGCAGACCAAGGCATGGCCAGAGTCCAGATAGGTACTCCAAAAGGAGCGGCAGACTTGTACACAACCACGCCAGCGGTAGCTAATCGCGATGTGATCAATCTGAGTCCAGGCTTGAGATGCAGAGAGAGGACGCCAGGTGGCATTTTATTATTTATTTATTTATTTGGACACATAAATATTGGTACAAGAGAGCGCCAATATATATGCGCCACACAAAACAATGAAAATTCGAGAGGAATACAAGGAGAAAAAAAAAGCTAAGGAGCGCAACAAAAAAAAGAGAGAACAATAACCAAGAGATTGGTGTAAGGTAATGTGCTAGTAATCAGGGAACGCAAAGGTACAATCGGAAGAAACATTTCAGGTAAGGGAGACACAACCACTTTTTATGAAGAAAGTAAAAGAAGGTTACAGCAGGATCGCCATTGGCTTCTATTCTGAGCCATATCTGATAACGTCTCTAGCCACTGTGTAGCACCATCTCTCGGACCCCAACCAGGGAGTCGTGAAGGACCAACACAAGCCAGTCCTTTGCAGCTTTCTTTCATGCCACGACACCATGTCATGCACTGACCACCTCTCCGCTTCTTCCAACCAGTCCCAGAGTCGGCAAATAATGCACGACGTGGAATCCTCTGGGACGACATTCGTAGAACATGTCCAAGCCACCGAAGTCGGTGTTTCAAGATGGTAACACCAATTGAATTATCATCTCTGTGCCCGAACACACGATGCCGAGCCTCTGCATTACTGACATGGTGTTGCCACTGAATGTCAGCAATCCTTCGGAGACAGCGATGATCGAACACAGAGTCGTTTAACGTCCTCAACTCGGAGAGGCCAGGTTTCACAAGCATAGAGCAGAACCGCTCTCACCGACGCGTTGTAGATCCGGCCTTTTACAGCCAGACTAACATCACGAAGGCGCCAAAGGTGGCCCAAATTGGCATAAGCCGCTCTGGCTTTCACTATTCGTGCATTGATCTGATCACTCACACCCCAACCAGCACTTATGCAGCTACCCAGATACACGAACTTCTCAACTACGTCTATCTGCTCACCATCCAGGGTGAGTACAGGATTGGAATCCTGCCAGTCTTGTAGAAGTACTTTGCACTTCGAAGGTGCAAAGCACATACCATACCTACGGACACTGATTGTCAACTGATTAAGTGCGGCTTGCATGCCTTGGGCATTATCGCACAGTAAGACAATATCATCCGCATACTCAAGATCGAGAAGTCTTTCTCCAGGCAACAGATCCACACCACCATTACTTCCATCCATCAGAGCTGTTTCCAGAATGTCATCGATGGCAAAGTTGAAGAGGAATGGTGAGATTGGGCAACCCTGCCTAACCCCACTGCTCGAATGGAACAATGGAGAGAGGTGGTTGTATGCCCTCACTCTGCCTGAGGTGTTTTTATATAGGGCTTTTAGGATGTTAATAAACTTCTCAGGCACACCCTTCTTCAATAGACAATCCCAGAGAACAGTTCTGTCCAACGAATCGAAGGCAGCCCTGATGTCAAGAAACACTACGATTGTTGGCCTTTGATAAGTATGGCGATGTTCTAACATTTGGCGGAGGGTGAAGATATGATCAATACATCCTCGACCAGAACGAAACCCAGCCTGCTCCTCGCGAGTCAATCTTCCTCGGGTTTTGAACAACCTACGAAGTATGACGGAAGCCAATAGCTTGGACGCAATCGGAAGTAGACTTATCCCCCGATAGTTGTTGCAGGAACGACGTGAACCCTTTTTAAAGATAGGGACAACTATCGACTCATTCCATGACGTTGGTACACTCTCTAGTTCCCAAACCTTTGTAAACAACGTCGTCAATTCCTTAGTCAAAAAGTCACCACCATCTTTAAAAAGAGCCGGAGGTAAGTCATCTGGGCCAGGTGATTTGTAACGCTTCAAGAGTTGGAGTTCCTTGCGGACTTCCTCCTCATTTGGTGGATCAGTCGTCACCGGCCATGGAGGGCAGGACAGTCTGACCGATGTTGCCGGAGCAGCAGGCCAGTTGAACTGCCCTTCGAAAAATTCCGCCCATCGTCCAAGACGTCGATGGATGTTAGTGATTGGCATCCCATCATCCTCGCAGATTGTTTCACTCACACCATACTTCTTGCTGCCAGTGGCTCGGATGAGTTGGAAGAGCTTCCGGTAATTACCAGATGCAGCTGCTGCTTCCAGCTCATTAGCACGCTTCGACCACCAGGCTTCTCGGTCCTTACGCAAGCTTTGCCCAATTTCCTTACGTAACATCCTTCGTTTATGGTCAAACTCACGGTCACCCGGAGTAGACCGACGGGCTTCAATGAGTTGTAAGGAACCAGAAGAAACCCAGTGCTTAAAAGCGGGACGTTTCGCAAACCCACAACTGACTGTTCCTGCCATTTTCATGGCGTCATGCAATTGCAACCAATGCTCATCTATACTTTTCGGTGGAGTGGTAGCTAGCCTAGAGGCTAGCTCGGTTCGATACTTATTTGCAACAGAAGTTGCAACCAGCTTGCTAATATCAATCCTTTGCTGGCGGTCACTTCGTTGTCCACTGAAAAGTAAGGCAAGATTGGCGCAGACCAAGGCATGGTCAGAGTCCAGATAGGTACTCCAAAAGGAGCGGCAGTCTTTTACACAACCACGCCAGCGGTAGCTGATCGCGATGTGATCAAACTGAGTCCAGGCTTGACTTGCAGAGGGAGGACGCCAGGTGGCACATCGGCGATGACTGTGCCGAAAGTTAGTGCTAGCCAGAAACAGGTTGTGGTCTGTGCACAGTTGCAGTAGACGGTCCCCGTTATCTGACCTGCGACCAACGAGTCCCCATTGGCCACCTAAACGACTCTCTTCTGTGCCTAGACGCCCGACCTGTGCATTCAAGTCTCCGGCCAGTACTACAATATCTGTCGAACGCACTTTCTGGAGAAGAACAGATAACTGGTGGTAAAACTCATCGTTGATTGCATCCGGGCTGCAATCTGTCGGGGCATAGGCGGAGATGACGAAAAGACATCGATTCTCACGCCGATTTCTTCTCACTTTGATGGAACTTTCTAATCTAACAGCACATAACCGACTGTTAATGGGGATCCAATCGACTAGTGCTGCCTCAGCTCTAGCGCTTAGTGCGACACCAACGCCAGCAAGACCAGACGAAGATGCCACAGGGTCCCCGGATAAGCGCACGTAAAACAAGCTTTTCGAAGCGACAGATGGAGAGCGAATTTGTAGTACTTCGCCAGAGTCTTGAATACGGGTCTCGGATAGACAACAAACATCAATATTAAGACTTTCCAAAGACATAGCCAGCCCTATCTGTTGACCAACCTGCATAAGTGTGCGAACGTTGAAGGCAGCCAGTTTGAATGGTGCACGTGGTTTCAGAAAAACTGCTTCAGTACTCATTTTCGATGGTAACATACAATTTTCAACCGGACAGTGACTCGAGAACGTTTAGATACAGTCGGATTTCCACCAAAGACGAGCCGCTGTATAAGTATAAAGGAGGGTGAATAATGTGGATAATAATAATAATAATAATAATAATAATAATAATAATAATAATAATAATAATAATAATAATAATGACAATAATAGTAATAATAATAGTATTAATAATGACAATAATAGTAATGATAATTATTTGAATCGACTGATTGTTTTTCGGAGCGAGAAAAGCAGTTGCCATAGACATAGAGTTCATCGTTTGTGTGCGGGCTGTGATACTGCCCGGATGCCCAAACGGGAGCAGGTGGTTTTCTTAGGGGGCCACTCCCCGAGCCTTGACCTTAAGGTCTGACCCACAAGGCAGTGGAGCATCGTGAGGAGATGCAGTCCTATGGAAGCCGGTGACCAACGATTGGTTCATACGCCATTTGTTCCTTCAGGATACTGGAGCCCATGTGCACCATTGGTTTGGGATCCGGCTAGAGCGCCGGACATTCGCTTTTCGTCCTCTCAATTTCGTAAACAACGCCCCCGCTACGAGAAGGCATTGAGTAGGACTTCCCTGTCAGAGGCTGTATACGAGTGGCCGTGTGAGAGCACCCACCCCACTCTCGGCCATACCAGGACATTTGGGGGCAATTAAACCATTAGGATCAATAGGACTTGATATTAAATAATAATAATTAGGGGTCACTGGGCTATGACATTAGATCATATGAGCTCAACTACACAATATCCGACGAAGTACTAAAATCTAAATTGCAGGCCAGAATAATTTATTGACACAGAGTACAAGCAGAAGCCAGGAAAGAATGAAGTCCGACAATCTCTTATTCATTATAGTCGTATCCTACTACCTCCAACACATCAGTCAGAATATACATTTCTTGCAAGGATGCTTTGATGAACATATCTCTCAACTCTTGAAATGGTCAATAGTTGGTAACAAAGTGTGCTTCCCATCCAGCTTGAGATTTATTCGTCACTAGATACTGATAATTAATCTATCAATACTCAAACCTAGCATCTATTAATTACAACATTCATCTCTTGCACACACTGAATGTGAATATATCCAGTGTACGAGGTATATTAGCAAGATATATGGTTTCTATATTTTACTACTAACAATCGATACAATAATCCCTGGTTGTTTAGTTTATTGTTATTTTATAAGTTAAAATTAATCCAGATGTCATGGCGAGAAACTTTGGAAAATACATTCGTTATAATACTACTGTTTCGGATATAATAAACCTTGAAAATTACAGTCAGTAGCATGTCTTTAAGACATAATAAACTGGATTGTAAACAGTATCTTTCTCCTTACTAAATAGAAACAGATTTCCGAACGAAATGATAACATGGTGGGGAATTTAATACACCTTAATCATCATCTCTAAACGATACATAATATATATCAAAGCTAGTAGTGATACTCATTGCCATAGTAACAACGTAGGCGGTGAAGATTAGAGCTTGTAATTAAGTGCTTTTATTATTGTCATCTATTGGTTGTTTATTAACAATCTAAACCATTAAGTGCTTAAGAATAGTGAGTATTCTAATGATATAAGACTCATTAATAAATTACTTGACTTGACAAAGGAAAACTCATGTCATCATAAGACGAAAAGATTTAATGCTTTTGTATGGTAAGAGGTGTTTTCTGTACAGATGAAAATTTCGACTAGTTTATCGTATTTTTACAAAAACTATATGTCTATATATTCACTTATAAATCTCCTTTTAATCGTCTTCCACGCAATCTTTCCAATTCACGATGTACCATTTCTTGTGTTGAACCCCAAGATCTACCTTCTGGTGGACATGTTGCAGCTGGAGTCCAAACACCTTTAATATCATTTGGATGATAAATTTTCGGAGGATCACCTTCTCGAAGACGTATATACAAATTTGTGTAATGAAATTTATTCGACTCCACTTTAGATCGTAAGCCTTTGTATAAACGAGGAACCATGCGACCTCGTGAAACATGCGCTGACTCTTAAGGTAAAAAGTATTAAAAAATAAAACAGAACATATGTTGTAACCTGTGGGACAAACTTTTTTGTTAACAAGGATAAATAAGACAAATTATGCAGACCAAATTCTTTGCATAAAAGACAATTATCTTTTAGCAAAAGAAATGTTTTTTGGACCGTAGAAAGTAATCACTTCAAGGATGTCTTCTTTGTGGGCATGAATGAGAATCCACCCTCGCGACAAAACATAACCTTGAGACGGACACAAAAAAATCAACTAACAGTGGCAGCAATCAATCAGGAGACAGCCAAGGTGTGGAAATACTACTTAGGAAGAAATACTGTTGCTGTTATAGTTACAGGAAAGAAATCAATGTCTATTAACAAAAGGTGGATAAATAGAGGTCCTCATAGTAATCTGGTACCATAAAGCCCTATTGCAAAACACCTTTTATTTTGAGTATATATCGTTTAAATGTTGACACACCGGTTGTGTGGCATCCAATAATTGCATTAGATCAGCACTCATATTGGTGAAGTGAACGAGAACACGAGTGGGGACAATCGAATGTATTTGAACACAAAATTACAGAACATTTTAGTAAAAATCTGAGAGCCATACAGTAAATACTTTATTTGCAAAATGTTAATCAATTGCCTCAAACTTGACTGTTTCCTCTGCAAATGTCGATCAATAGTCTCAGACTTTACGGTTCCTTCATTTCCACAACAATCATTCTCTGTTCTCGTTCTCTTTTATTCGATCTACTTAACCTTCTGCTGCCAGGTACTTTACTTTCGATTGACGATACATACTAATATCTATCAACATCATTAGCACACAGCACATTGGTATCAACAATGAGTTCGTATTGTTTTCAGTACGTATAATATCTTTTATTAAACAAATAGGTACTTTCAGTGTTAAAGCAGTTATTTACAAAAAAGCATAATAAGTCGTATCTAGAAATCATGTTAGGCAATAACAAAATAACAAATCTTTCATCTGTTTTGCGTTCACGCAGGTTCAACTGTAAGTCACCAAGTGACAATTCTGTTGTGCATAAAACTTAACTCTTTATGATAATAGCAGAATTGACGTACTTTACACCTTGCTTAAATTTCAACCATACTAAAATAATTAATGAAGTTAATGATGAATGTTTCTATAATCTTAATAAATACTTATGTCAAATAAAACTAAGCACAGTTCAGAAGTCATTATGAAGTTGTCGTTTGGAAACGTTAATAAACGGACAATCAAAACACTGATGATAAAAAAATTCAACAGTATTTCTATGAAATATACTCTGTAAAAAACTAAATTCAGTAACTGTGTTCAATTACATACAGTTCAAATATATACTAAGTAACACAAGTTCAAATTTCAATTCACCTACTTTTAACTGAGCAACCCAATAATATTATTAAGTCGCATACACACGCAAACACAAAATATGCCTCAAAGCCCAATATACATGGACATGAACAAAATTAATGAGTAACACATCAAAAAGTATGTTTTACTATAGCTATAGGTATAATTCATCACATAGAAGAATCGTGAAAACAATAGAAATAAAAACAATATCCTATATAAATCATTTACCTATCCAAATTTTTGTACAGAATTCAAAATCGTGCTCCTTAACTGCTAGTTCAATGGCTTCTTCTATCACCTAAAATACAGATGACATGAAGAATACAGTTTCGAATTAATGATCATCAGACTTGTACATTTATGATTTAAACTTAGTGATCAAACAGAATAGTTTATTCTGATCGAAATACATTATTACAAATATAAACATCATAAGAACAGATGGATTGTAACTAGCAGTGGAATCTAGGACCCGCGTTTTATCGTATTGGTCGTTTGGATTCTCTTATTGATATTGAAAACTGGAATTAATCAGTCTGTTTTGGTATATGTGCATCCTACGCGGATTGCCCTTGATATCCCGTCAAGGAGTGAATATCAGTTCTGGAACGCAAGTATACCCAGCCGACTAGTTATAGATAAAACGAAACGCGCGAGCTGGATTTCACTACTAGCCACCACCCATCTCTGCTTATAATGCAATATCGATGGAATCCGCACAGAATACACATATGTCAAAAGAAACTGATCGATCCCAGACCTAAACAACAATAGGAAGATTCAAACAACTAATGCAAATAAAATAAACATAATGTGTTACTTTTAATCAGTGAAATAAATTTATCAGAGGTTGTGAATTTTGAGATTAGTTTCTATGTTATCGATACACTGAGTTGCACGTAGCTTAAATAAGTATACAAGATGAGGACGAGAAGTAAAACCTTCTCATTTTATAAGAAACTGTAATATATACGAAAAATATGAATCAAAAATGGTAAGTATGAAGTGACCTGTTCATATATGTACAAATAGAAAGTGCTTAATCCTAGCTGAACACTATCAGCTAAACCAGGAGTTAAAAGACGTGGTATTTTTGTGGCCCATTGATCTGACTCCATTTAGAGCGTACGAATGATTGTTATCACCTATCCTCGTATACAATCATCGACTTAACTCACGTTAGTCAATAGCGGGATTTAGATAAGTCAATTAACGAGAATGGCCTTTGAATACATATATTTCGTATGTAAAGTGAATGTAATAGAACAGAGCAAAATGACGCACAGGGAAGATGGCTGGTAAGCCAACTCCATTTTAGTCAAGCGTTACTCAATATTTATAGTCAGACAAAATAAAGCTACCGACATGTGATTTATGGGATAAGAAGGGCACACACATATACGCTCATATAAAAACAGTCCAGATTGATAAGCGAATAAGTAACAAGGTCAAAATATGACTCAAGCAGAATGAATAGAATGGGATGTCCGAAAGCTAGAGTAAGGTATATGGGCTTAATATAATAACTGACACTACAGTATCGCACATATTAATTAGAATTTGAAGGTTAACTTTCACCCGCTGAAGACAGCTGGAAGAAAGTTAGGGCTGACCAAACCAAAACATGGCATTAGTCCACAAGGTCACTAACTTCTGGTCTGAGCCATGTTGGTAGATGCAGACTACTGGGTTGAGGTCCGCGTGACTATAGTATCCAGTGATTTGAGACTGTGGGTGACATGGATTAGAATCGACCACAATGGCGTAGGTGCATAGACTCTTTGCCTTCCCGTAAACCGTTAGATTGGAATTACTTTATATATATATATATATATATATATATATATATATATATATATATATATATATATATATATATATATATATATATATATATATATATATATTACTACCATTGAAGTAACTGCTTCTATGAATTTAGTGTTCATTTTGTTATGCTAATGAGGTATGGCAACGTAGACCGATGCATATGTGTGCCCGGTCCTACTGTGGTGTGTGCTATCTATGCTTGCAGATATAAGCAGTATGTAACACCAGTCGGAAGTGGAATGTCTGAGAGCAGAAAGTTGAGAAGATGGAAATGAAGAGAAGAGAGATAACAACAGGAATAAAGGAACAACGAAGCTTGTAAGAGACAATTCAAAAATGTGCGAATGATGTATTTGACGTATAATTTTCACATATTACTAAACTACAGTGTGATTGTGCATTAAATAATAAACTAGTCTTCCTCACTTGAGTGTTTTTTTCACTTCACTACGTTGTAGATGACCGAGTGACGTCACTTAGAAAAAAAATTGAAAGAAAAAGACCACTATGGAACTTTGTTTTATTTTAGCATAAGACTTATCTTAGGTGGACTTTCACGAAGCGGTAAGCACGATAGCTGTAGACTAGTGAGCTAGGATTAAAAAGTTTACATTTTCAACTTCAATTTTTGATTTAAAATTATTCCCACACAATGTCGATGGTGGGTTATCGTCTAAATCCTGACATGATCGACTCTTCATATCACGACTTCAAACTAAGAAAGCTTTATTGAATGAACCTGAAATTAAATGAGTACTGGTGCTTGATTAAATTTACATCAATTCACATTGTTTCGTGTAACACAGAATTTTCTCAGTCAGTCAGCTATAACGTAGGACCGGGCACATATGCGCATCGGTCCAAGTTGCCATACCTCATTAACACAATATGAAAACCGAATTCATAGAAGTAGTTAATTCAGTGGTGGTAATATGTAAAAGAAGGATTGCATATAATGACATAGTACGGGAAGAAAGAATAAGTTCGTAGAAAGAAAGATATGAAGTGATCTTAATCTCTTAGTTTAAAGGAAGACAGAGAGTGTATACACAGACGCCATTGTGATCGACTTTGAGTCATGTCATTCAGAGTCTCCAACAATTGATTACGACAGTCACGAGGACCCCAACAAAGTAGTCTGCATCTACCAACATGGCTAAGACTAGAAGTTAGTGACTTCAAGCACTGATGCCATGTTTCGGTTTGGCCGCCCCTGACTTTCCTCCAACCATACCCAACACTAGTCAGCTTTGAGCGTTGTGGCAATCGGTTTTCAGGTATACGTAACACCCGTTAGCATTGCACGACGTGGTAATCGGTGTTCAGGCATACGTAACACGTGGCCCAACCATCTCATTCGATGAAGATTTACAACCTCATCAACTGATTTACCATCATTCCCTAATGCCCTATATCTAACCTCACTATTACTTACCCGGTGATCCCAGCAGAATTGTCTACTGAAATTCATAGCTTAGATTTTCATAGTAATTTTGTAATTTCGATTATGTGTAAGAATTGTCGACTAATCACTAAGTGTGAGCAAAATTAATATATCAATTAATGCATTCATGTGCCATTTTGATTTTATTACAGAGTCAATCAAATACATGTAAGTGGTCTTTATGTCCTCACTACGCGTCGTCGGATCCGGGATTTCAGTCCCAAGCATAAGTCAGCAAAACTATTCAGCAAAGATATCAACAAAGCTGGTTATGGTGGCTATTCATTATTTAACAAACATTAGTTTTTAATTGAAATTTAGAATTTTGCACTCTTGATCTACAAAAATGAGGCACTATCGTCTATGAAGATACTGGTGTCTTGTATAGATGATATGATCCAACTTGTGGATACATCTTAGTAGTTGATAATAACTAAATAGCCCATCTGGGACTACTAGTCCGACTACGTACATGAACTACAAAAAACTTTAGTAATGAAGTTTATTGATATGGGATAATTTAGAGATTAACTTAAGTAAATAGCATCAAGTTATGAAACCCTCTTACCTCTTCAAGGATTCTAGCTCCCTTTTCAGTACGAAATCCTAATTGTGCGAAAGCATCATCTACAGATCGTCCACGAATCTGTATTAACAATTTAAAATAAAACAAACAATTTGATGGTACCGTTTAAGTGGAATGTAGATGATTATATACACATTAATCAAGTTTATTAAATTGTGTGTTCTCAGCTGATTCTATCCCTTCTAATCAAAATTGGTTGTTACTTATCAAAATTTTGAGTTAAGGATATATTTTCAACTATCCTGTGGTGAATTTATTTCGGAACTAGTTTTTATTAACATATTGAGAGACTAGCCACATTCAATCTATTCAGTCATATATTTCAAGAGAAATTTCCACTGCTTTAAATCGGTTTTAAACAACTAGTCATTTTAATGATGTATTATTTTTCAGATCTGTCTTGGGAATGGCTATCAAAAACGACTGAAACTATCCATGTAATCTAAGTGGTGTAATGTCATTTATATTACACGTTAACTTGCTTGATAGTACTCTATAAAGCCTGTTATAAAACGAAAAAATTTTACTCCTAAGAAACTGACTCGATAAACATTTATTTAATGAAAGCAATTCAACTAGCTAAAATTGACGAACAGTTAAGAATCGATAATTTGGTGAATTAAAGATTCAGATTTTACAGTTCTCATTTAACACAGAACCAACACAAAGAATTAAAGGCATATTTGATAGTTTTTCAAGAGGATATAAACAGAATAAAGGTTTACAATTATATTTCCAGATATTTTTAATATTAATCATCCGTATATAATATCTAGAAAAGGATAAATTCAAATGATTAGATAAAATCAGATGCATATAAATATAATTAACAAGTCTGTTGACATACCAAGTGGGCTAGCATCCACAGTCTTTTGCTGCTGTATAAAATATCATCTCGACGATGGGTAACTTCACCTGGTCGTATGCTAGTATCCCAAAGAGCTGAGCTTGAAACTTTAGGTACAGGAGGATAAACCACCTCGTTGTACAACTTCCAAAGATCTTCTTTTTGACCAGTAACTCTAGATATTATCGCAAATCCTTTATGATTTGACAATCCAGGTTTTTTATGTAAACCGATAGAAGTGGATATAAATTGCTTTGACGGATACGCGTTTCCAGCTGACAGTACTTTCCATACAGTTTTAGAAACAATAGAAAGCATTAATACCTGTGAATAAAAAACAGTCACACACACTAAAATAGGATATGGATGCTTCCAGAGTATTTAAATAACTTTCACCTATAGGCCCACTAAGAACAACTTTTAAAAATCTTAGAGATCACCCGAGGAATTAACACAAAAAATGAATAAGACGAACAAAGCTTTAACTGTCATGTCTAGCTAAGAAGTTGAGCTTCAAGGTAATTTGTATACAAACGCTAAAATGCTTAATATTTTTGAGAACAATACCCGACATTTTTATTTGCCTGCTTTCTTAACTCTCACAGAAAACCATTTACTAATACTTGATCGCTTATGTTAGATTCGAACACTGTAGCCCATGGTTTCTTTATCACAACGAGCTACTTATCTGTTGTTTCTTTCTTATTCTAAAAATATTTTTATCTTATTTATTTGAACACATAAATATTGGTACAAGAGGGCACCAAATATATATGAGCCACACTAAAAAATGTTTGACTGTAAATCGAAGCGAGAATAGAGTTTTCAGTAAATATCATCATCTTCATTATATTTGTGTGTGGGCTGTGATACTGCCCGGATGCCCAAACCGAAGCAGGTGGTTTTTTTAGGAGACCACACCACGAGCCGATGTCCTTTCAAACCAGATAAAAAGTGTACAAAGGTACATGTAATATCAGCATAATGTGGAAGAGCGGGAGGATCAATCAAATAGCTATGGGAATGAGGATATACAACTTGACGGTGCTCGGACTAAGTCAAACCTATTGGAATCAAGCTGGACAGAAAAGATCATCTTCGGCAGAGGTGCTGTCGTACTATAAGTCATGAAAATGCTTCGCAAACACAGGGGGTCGAACTGATGCTGTCTAAATAAGCACGAAATGCACTTACTGGGTGGGAATTTCATGGATCCAGGATCATCAAAGCATCCTTCAGAGCAAAGGTGATTACAATGAATGTTATTCAGTGTTATGCATCCACCAATGATAGCAATGAAAACGATGAAGATCAGTTCTATGAGGAGCTGCAGTTAAACGAAGTGAACTGCCAAGAAATAGATCTCATCATACTGATCAGACACCTAAATGTCAAAGTCGGAATAGACAAAATCAGGTATGAAGATATCATGGGACGATATAGACTGGGAGGAAATGGAAATAATGAGATTTACAGATTCATGCGTCTTCAATAAAATGGCTAATGGTGGCCTTATATTCCCTCACAAACGCATACTTAAAGCACGTAAAGAACAGAAGAAGCCAAGAAACAAGCTGAATATACTGAAGCAGACAAGCAAGTGAAGAGGAGTATTAGAGCTGACAAGCGGAAACATGTGGAAGAACTAGCAATGACAGCAGAAAAAGCTCCAAGAGGAAATATCAGACAACTATATAGTACAACGAGCGAATAATCAAGAACAAACAAGCATGTCAATCACTGAGACTCAAAAACAGTGGAACAGATGGGCAGAACATTTTGAAGAACTCTCGAACATACTGGCCCCATTGAACCTACCGGAAATCGACGCAGCACACACAGACCTTCCTATATATGTCACTCCACCAACGGTCGACGAAGTCAGGATGCCATCAGACAAATCAAGAGTGGGTAAGCAACAGGACTAGACAACGTACTGGCTGAAGCACTGGAGTCAGACATAGGGGTATTTGCAAATATGCTCCATATTTTATTTCGAAAAACCTGGGAACAAGTGCCAACAGACTGGGAAGAAGGATATCTTATCACGGACCACGAAGGGGCGATAGTCCCTTTCAGCCTGTTCTCCCGAAACGCTCTCACATGGCTAGAAGTATACAGCCGCTGCCAGGGGAAATCTAATCAGCACTTTCTAGCGGCGGTGTTCTTTACAACATAGAGTGGATGAAAGGCGAATGTATGGCGCTGTAACCGAACTGGCAGATGTAGAGGACCTCTAGGTCAAAGGCTCAAAGAGTAACCCTCCAAAACACCATCTGTTTTAGTTTGGGCACCCGCGCAGTATTCCAGCCCTCATACAAATCGAAAGTATGGCGCATATATATCTGGTGCCTCCTTGTACCTATGTTTATGTGTTTAAGTAACTTAATAGTCAATAATAAAAAAGTTTCAAAAAATGTGAGGACTACAGAGGCACCACATTACATTGACACTGGGAAACGCTCTCAAGAGTGCTATTGAACCGGATGAAGGATCCAACATGCTGGATTCCGTAAAGATCAGTCGTGCACAGACCAGACCGCGTCAATAAGGGTCATTGTCAGACAATAAACTGAATAGAACTTATCATTACACATCAGTTTCCTCGACTATGAGAAAGCATCTGACAGAGTAGATAGAACCTTATGGAACCTTCTTTGACATTATGGAGTACCTGAAATCTTCAGCATCATAAGGAATTTATATGATGGACTACACTGTAAAGTCGTGAGTGAAGGACAGTTCACGGATGCATTCCGAGTGAGGACCAGTGTCACAGAATATGATGGACAGCTAGGATGCAGCTAGACAATATGGACCTCGCAGATGACCAGGCCCTTCTACACATGCACACCAAGAAATACGGATGAACACAACCAGTGTAACAGTAGCTTCTGTATCAGTAGACCTCCACAAACACAAGAGGAGAAGCAAGATCCTGAATAGAACGAAAAGGACAACAAGCCAATCACACTTGATGGAGAAACCCTGGAAAAGGTGCGAACTATTACGTACTTCGGCAGCATAATAGAAAAACGAGGAGGATCTGATGTGGCTGTAAAGGAAAGTATCGTCATAGCTAAGGTAGCATTCCTACAATTGAGGAATACATGGGACTTAAAACTGTTAAACAACAGAGTCAGAATCTTTAAAACAAGACAGTTCTACTATACGGAGCTCAAACGTAGAGAACTACAACCATCATCGAAAAGGTACTAACGATTTTTTACGTGAGATACTCCTGATTCGTAGGCCGGATACCATCAGCAACATTCTATTTTGGAATAGAACAAACTGACTTCCAAATGAAGAGTAAGTTGGGAAAAGTCGCTGAAGGTGAGGACATCACATTTATGCAACGACTGAGACAGTCTGATGAAACAGAAGTTTGATCGTTACTTATGAATTTACAAAATTTCTGCTTAGTTTAACAAATACATAAGGACTATATGTCTCTTTACAGTAAACTGTGAAAATATGTGCACAGAACCAAAAAATGCACAAAACTGCAGTGTACCGGCAGCTCTTACTAACCGCTGAAATCTACATTTCAATATACAATAATACTCTGTTTCATATTATTTCTGAGTAAAGAATTCCAGGATTACCTAAACGTTTTTCTCTGTCATGAGCATCAGTAGTTTTTGCTCAATCGTTTGTGACGATTTTTTCAACTTATGGAGGCTACTTAAACGGATTATGGAGCCTATTGATAATAATAATAATAATAATAACGACTTAAAATAATCCTGAATCGCTCTATTGGTAGACATTCGATTAATGTATAACAGTGTCGTGAAATACTTATACAAACATTATCGTGACCTATGAATTTTAATTGTAACGTTATTTATTATCTTAGGCGGACGGATGTCTATCTACATTTGACTGTGACGCTACTTGTGTGTTCCTGTATATAGTCTTATATGTCGTCTATAAGCTTCCCAGTTACCCATGATTCATATATTGTTAACTTTGCACAAAAGCTATATCACCCATTACTCACTGTGGTTGTTTACTACAGATATTTATGTCTGCAGTTATTCAATTTCCACATTCGATCACTCAGTTTACCTGCTTGCACGAATATAATAAATATGAAAACCCTTAATACTACTCGTAGTTGGCTTTTTACTTTCATGTCATATTGCCTGGTTAGTAGGTTGTTGACCTTCACAGAAGCAATGTATTATATTTATCAACTTTGCACTCAATCTGTGAAAAAATGAAAGCGTGGTCTTTGTAAGAACGTGTGGTTCTTGTAAACTTTATATCTACCTGATTTTAAATTTTAAATACAACACGTTCGTTTGTACTCACTCAGTTACTTGGTTTAAATAGCATTTCCCACATTCAATTTTGTTCGCACAACTTTGTAGATGAATGTGGATGAGCTGGCTCTGTATAAGAGTTCCAATAAACTATTATGGCCTATTTTTGACTGTATTATTGCTCCTAAAATTGCTAGTGCTTCAATAACTGGTGTTTATCACGAAGGCACTTGACATACGGATTTTGATATCTTCCCACTTGAAATTGTTTGAGATAAAATAATTTATGCTAAGATTTCACTGTCTTAGATTTGAATGAAATCTTGAGGTGGAGCTAGTTAGTGTAATCTGTGACCCACCAACTATTATCAGTGTTAGGTACACGGTTAATCACAAGGGGGAGGTATGGTGTGATAGATGTGCAATAGTCGGACGTCATCTCAAAAGTAGAATGACTATTCCGAATAGCGACCACGCTCTACAAAGTGATGAAAGTACTTGTAAACAGAGTCAAGCCATTCATTATAGTGGAAAGCCAGACTTTGAATAATCAGTTATTAAAATGTTATACAACTATGGCAATAAACTATGCATTTAAAATCCAGTCAGTCAGTCAGCTACAACGTAGGACCAGGCACATATGTGCATCGGTCCAAGTTGCCATACCTCATTAACACAATATGAAAACCGAATTCATAGAAGTAGTTAATTCAGTGGTGGTAATATGTAAAAGAAGGATTGCATATAATGACATAGTACGGGAAGAAAGAATAAGTTCGTAGAAAGAAAGATATGAAGTGATCTTAATCTCTTAGTTTAAAGGAAGACAGAGAGTGTATACACAGACGCCATTGTGATCGACTTTGAGTCATGTCATTCAGAGTCTCCAACAATTGATTACGACAGTCACGAGGACCCCAACAAAGTAGTCTGCATCTACCAACATGGCTAAGACTAGAAGTTAGTGACTTCAAGCACTGATGCCATGTTTCGGTTTGGCCGCCCCTGACTTTCCTCCAACCATACCCAACACTAGTCAGCTTTGAGCGTTGTGGCAATCGGTTTTCAGGTATACGTAACACCCGTTAGCATTGCACGACGTGGTAATCGGTGTTCAGGCATACGTAACACGTGGCCCAACCATCTCATTCGATGAAGATTTACAACCTCATCAACTGATTTACCATCATTCCCAAGCATTTAATATAATTAGGTTTCGCTAAGTTGATTACCTCATGGCTAGAATTACCACAAACGAAACTCTGAAGTATGACAAAGACTGTAAAAACGACTATCAATAAATAACTGTTGCGTTGCATAGAAAACATCCCTCCTGACATTCAGTAAAAATATCGACCCAAATCGATCGCAAACTACGACCGGATCGATCAACCATGCCTCAATAACAAACCGGAGGAAAGTTTAGAATACATGCAATCACCATTTAAACATATTATTTTTCGTAAAAGCAGTCACTGGATATCAAGCTAGTGTGTTTAGAATACGAAAAGAACTCTACTGTCTTCAAGGAAGCCTATTTATAGAGTTCGAATACCTATTGTACACAAACGTAGACATTCATTATACAGCAACGAAGGGAACCAATTTTATCTACACATTACTATTTAAAACACTTGTTAGTAATACTCAGGAAATAACCTAATATACATACATTGTACTTAAAAACTTGTAAAATATACAAAAACCAATTTTCCCCCTTCGCTTCCTTACCATGTAAACTGAATAGGTCTTTAAAGAAATAGTAAAGTACAATTTGCATTTTAAAACATATCAAACGAAAGAAATAAGAAATATTTATAAACTGTCAGCGCTTTATATTATATTTTCTAATAAGAAAATCACAATTTTATCTATCTACAAATTCAATTGGCACAGCCACAGTTGGAGGGAAAGGCAATGGATAAGAAGTAGATTATCAAGAGGATCATTTACACAATGAACATAAACTATTACGTGAATTAGAGGGTAAACTCAACTTTGTGTTCAAAGGATGATAAAAATATTTCTACAAACATACAAACGAATTGTTTACTGGGCACGAAAGCTTTAAACAACAGTTAATTTGCCAGTTATATAGTATAGTATAAAAGGTTTTCATGAGGTTTACCTCACGTAAAGAATAAAAACAAACTGAACATAAGCAACTTGTGCAATGAAACTAAACAAAAATACAACTTGGAATGTAAAAACTTCCCTGGTTCGTTACAAAAATATTTTGTATCAGTTTCTATGTACATGATACACAATTACCTCAATGGAAGACAATAAAAAAGAGAATAAAAACAATATTTTTGTACATCTAAACTTTAACATCCATCGATTGTTCTTGCTCCCCACTGTCAGTTTTGGTCAGCACTATTTCTTGTTGAAGATTTCTTACACTTCCCACCGTTGTTGTACTATCGTTCCGACAAACAACACACATAAATGAATTATTTCCTATTACAGCACCCTCACTACAACAGCCATTAAGATGCACCCAACGGTTACAATAATCACAATGTGCCCAATCAATAACCTAAATAAGCGGCAGGGGGAAAAACGTTAGAATTAAATTGGATAAGTATATAATTAAAAGTGATTAAAACATGACCAGAACAGTAAAATTGAAAGATTACAAAAACATATATTGGAGTGATCGTCGATTAGTTGCTATGCATATGAGTTAAACAGTAGATCACTCAGACTGAAAAGTAAATTACATAGGATAAGTAAAAGGAATATATCTATCTACAAGATATTAAATGTTTGGACTAACTATCTGTATCAGGTTGTCGATTAGATATACAACGTTTGATTACAATTAATTTTGTTAAGGTTTGCAAATTTTCTTTTTTGGTATGAAAAAAAACACAATTACAAATAATAATGTTTAGTTTTAATAATAACTATTTATTGGAATTCTAAAGCTTATCTAGCTAATCTGACGATAGATATTATCAAGTGAAATACCACGACGTTGAAAGAATTGACGTTTTTTCAGTATTATAACATTAGATTTATTCACAGAGTATATTTCTCAAAAGATTATTCAGTTTTAATAAAGTATCCGTTGCTTTCTATGTTGATCTTAAAGTTGACTGTCGTGTTAAAAGTGCACGAAGAAAAGTTAATAGTTCATTTTTGATAAATTTAGTTCGAAGTATCTTGTAAGAAAGAAAATGAATGTTGTTACAACCAACATTTCAGAATAAGTTGAAAAAGTAACTAAGTGAGTTAAATTTTCATCAGGGTTATTACCGATGAGAAATTATTGAACAATCCCAGTGGCATAGGAAATTCCTAGTGGATTAAGACAACTTCCGTGACTATTAACATAAGTTATAAACAGTTGAGTCGGCTTCCGGAGAACTTCAACGGAGCCTCCAGAGGCCAAAAAGGAGCCGAAGGGTCCTAGCCAATCAGAGTATGATGAAACGTTCTAGAATTCCAACGTGGCGTGCTACTATTGGTCGGTAGCATAATATGTCGTTAACAGATTGGCTGAAATATGATGTTGATTTAACAGACGCCAACATCTATAAATACCTATGATTTTCTGTACAAGAATGAACCTTGGGATAAAGTATTTTCTCTCATACTTGTGTCTTCTCTCTGGTGTTCAAGTCGCTGTGTAGATCTAGACTGCGGGTTACCAGAATAGCTTAGGAGGACGAATATAGCGTTCGATCGACAAGACTTATCATAAACATACATAAACTTTTATCGATGAAAGAAATTAGAATCATGAAAACTAATATTCTGTAAAATGGACTAACAGTACCTAAACGATCATTTTACTTCAAAATACTATTTTGCCTATTGTATTTCAAAGGTGTAACTTATATATCTGTTACCTGTAAATCATCAGCATTAGCCTGATCAGAAATTGGTTGACAAGATAACTCTGGAGGTTCTAACTGACCACAAACAACACAAAAGTCGAGTGCTTCACCATCTTCCACTCCATCAATACTTTCAATAACTCCACCGTTCACAGGACCATGACCACTTTCTGTTTCAGATACCTGGAAATACTGACTAGTGTGACCAGATGTCTCACTTTGTATTAATTGAGAATTAGAAACTTCACAGTCAACTTCTTCTTCATGCGAAATATCCACATCTGAACTAGCTAAAACGTCAAATGACGGAGGATCTTTGATCTGATGAAATGAAAATTCTTCCTAAAGTATTGACAAAACATTATTAATACTTCATTATCTCAAACAAATATAAGAATACTAAAACGCGACAATTATGCATATTATATAAATGTTTTGGAATTGAAAATTAAAATCTGAGATCTGGTCGCTGCATGGTATGGAATATATGAATTGATACTCATTAGGTAAAACAAAAAAACACAGCGGTAGACCTTATTTACATGATTGTGAGTCACATTTATGTAAGGAGTTACAGAAACTAACCAACTGAAGAATGTAAAATAAGGTGAAGAATCGTATCTTTTTAGCAGAAAGACTAGAATTTAAATTACTGAGAAACGCATCATCTACTAGGTATAAAGTTACTTGGACAAAAGCACATACTATTAGTCAATTACTGTCGGGGAAAATAACTAATTTGTGAAAGCTCAGACTGTTTTTTTTCCAATGCACGTATCAGCGTAAGAATAATATTTGACAATCAATACAATTAATATTCAATAATACTTCACTTACATGCAAAGAAACAGGTTGAATAGCATTTGCTGCGGGACCATGCAAACGTATAGTAACTGATCGCCCTGAAGAAGAAAACTGTGTTAAAACAGTATGTTGGGTTTTAAATGTGTTTTCATGGGAAGTAAGAACAGTTGCAGTCGGTTTGGAATTCACCACAGTGGAATTGGAAGTTAAGGGATCTGTGTAAATAATAAAAAGTAGGGTTTTTCATTCTATAATACAGTACAGGAAAGTTATGGGTCCAACAAAAATATTCCATTTATTGTCAGTCCATTTACAATAATTAGAGTCGACCTACAACAAATATAGATTTTTCTTCACATATATAATGCGTCAAATTAGAGATAACACAAGTCAGAACAAAGCATCAAGTCAATAAATAATTAAAGTACTATAAAGTACACTCTGAGGGCGATCTGACAGAGCAAAACAGAGTTTACCTCTGATGGAGTAGTCTGGAAAATACCATGTGTCAACACTGGGCTTTTTTGATGAAATTACATTTTACAAGGTGTTTTTATTGTGATGATGAATTAAAGGTAGAAGAAACAATCAACACTATATGATATGTCGGGATAATGATTATGAACGAAGAATATATCTTGATATTATTTACATGACGAAAGAAATTAAAATCACTAAAGGTTTATAGTAAGAAAATTCATTGTTTCTTAATAAGTTAAGAAGATTATAGTTAAAAACCTGTAATTCAACGATAAGAGCTTTCGGGGTTGTAAGTAAATCGTGTATTATTATGAGAAAGTATATTAATTTGTTCCAATAACAGTTCATAAGGCGAAGAGTTCGATTAAATGAACCTAAGCATATTGAAGAACTGCTGGTAGAGACTGATTAGGCAGATGAAGTCGAAAAATACAGACCGAAAAAATACGTGTCAACGCAGCATCAACGAGTGCAAAATATGAAGTTATTTTCCCCCAAAAAAGAATACACGAAAGAAAACTTACCTGATCAGTTAAAACACTACCTTCAAAATACCTAAATTTTTATCGTAATGACAAAAGTCACATCAGTAACATCATGAAAGCTACAAAGGTATATAGACAACTGTAAATTGTTTCAAAGTAGCGTGTAGGATAAGTAACACTAAAATGAGAGTTATGTGAGTTTTGTATTAACAGCGAGACCGAATTTTATTACATTATTAAAATGAAGTAGATTTCCGAAACGACTCCTGGTACATTGATTTCATTCAAGAGACTAAGTATCCCATACATAGATAAGAGTTTTTGTTATATCAGTAAAAATGACCAAGTTATAAGTACACGGAATTTTGACTAATGAACAAAAGTAAAGTGCTTAAACGTCATCAAATGAGATGACAATCGATACCTGATTGTTATTATTACCTTTAGAAACGTAGGAATATTCTAAGAAAATACTCGATGATTCAACAAGACAGCCATAAGCAAAATATTGAGATACGCATCATACGTTTGAAGAACATCTCATAAGCAATCTGGTGAAACGCTAAGTCTATTTCTATGTGTGGTAATGGGCTATCTGTTTGAAATAATAATACAGATGAGGTAGATGACTGGTAAATTGTCGAAGTACATCTTTATCAAGATAGTTTAATAAATCATTACTTCGTATGAGTTTTGAGGAGGCACATAAAGTTGCAGTATAAAAATCTTAGAGTAGTAAGAGCAGTCGATTTTAAAATTATTATCGACATAACTCATAGCCATGTTTCAAAAAAGTTACTAATTTTAAACCAAAATTTCACTTTATATCGAAAACATATGTATTTCTACTAAGAATGGTGAATTTTGCATCGTCTCTGTAATTTCTTCGACGGAATGACCATATTTTTTTGTTTTGTTCGCCTATGCAGGTTAGAACATGCAGAATAAAAAAACTGGTACAAAAAATAATACTTACTTTCAGTATTATCAGTTACATACGTAGCTAGTTTAGTGACAGCTGCAACTGGATGATGCGAATCATTCGAGGAATTGATTGCATGGTCTTTTGAATCTCCATTTGGATTAACATAATTGAGGTAGTTTGATGCACATCCTAGTTTAGACCACTGGTTATAAGGATTCGCCATTTCATTAACTAAATATGGATCCACATTTTCTACAGCCAAACTATTTTGTTCATAATCTTCTGTCTGCTTAAAAGATGAAATAATGAGAAAAACTATTTTTTATTTCACAGATTAGAAACAGAAAATGATTGACTCATATCTCGAAATGTGAAATTATAAACTCTAGCTACAGTGAAATATGAAAGTATATTACGGCACACATAACTAGTTGTCAGTTATTCGTCAAGATAAAGACAAATAAATGTGTGAGATTAAACATGTATATAATTTTAACAGAAAGATAATGCTAAACAATAAAATAAAAACCAATAAATGAACAAACAGATGTATCAACTACGAAAAAATGATAAAATGTTGATCTAGTTCGCCCTGTATATTGTTCACTATAGTTCATATCATTCAAAACACCTATGTACTGACTAAGGATGATCAAAGAACACTTTGTGTCGGGAATCGGAAGTAGACATCAAAAGAATGAATAGCAACTGGAAAGGATTGCCCATAGCAGAGTTGGATGGAGAACCCTGCTGAGTGGTCTATGCATCTCCATGAAGAGTAACAGAAGCAATTGATTAACTGTCTAAATACAACTAATAGTTCAATCACGGTAAAGTGGTTCCCTTAAGATGACCAACACTAATAAACTAAACATAGTTCTATTTTTTCTAGCGTAATCATTATGTTGCCAAAAGTTCTACGGTGTTTATGACTGGAAGAATTCATTTGATACCATAAACTACATCATTGTAATTTGGTAATTAATCAGTAGCCTCCGTTATTTTATGGTGACTTAGAGGTAATAGAATTAAACATATTACGGTTTGGCGGGTCCAAATATTAATGAAATTCATGGGAAATCGTATCAACCTTTAAGTGGCATTGATTGAAAATTCAACGAGACTATGTATTTCATATAGATTCGATTCTGTAGTTTGACCACTTTTTATTGAAATAATGAATTCCGATAGTCAATACTTGAACAGTGAGGGTTGATGGCCTATGCCGAATAGCATTTAATAGACTGACTAATCAAATACCATTCAGCTAAACTGAAAGTGAAGTTTACGAAACACGGAAGTACGTTGTTCCGTCCGTTAATATTCTCCTTGTTAAGATATAACTAACAATTAAACAAAGTTTGTTATCGCTATAGTACCATGCCTCTAACTTAAAATATTTTGATCATCACTATATAGTACAAGGATGCGATAATAGATAAAATAAGTTTTAGAAAGACGAGTTCCCCAGAAATCTAAATTTAGATCACACATGTACACAAATATACATTTGAGTATCTATGTTATAACCGTTTCTTGGTCATAATAACTATCTCTTATAAAATGAAAATCAAAGGTAAGTAAATTGCTAAAAATACAATCGAATACCAAAATAATAAGTTTATATTTCTACTTATTACCTTGTAGTACAAGTGATTAAGTATATGATACAGTAAATCAGTAAAGCTAGCTTAATCTCCATTGGTTAACGCTAAAATGAGCAGATATTTCATTAAAAAACACTAATATTTTTCTTTAAGACACACTTATAGTTTATGAAGACTAATCATTTAAATAACTAATGAAAACATACCATGTTCAAATAGGCGCCAATAGATGAGGATAAATTGTTAAATGGGCAAATTCCCAATCTTTCAAACAAACTAATCATATTATTCGGTTGTAAAGCTTTTTCATAAGCATGAGTCAATATAGGTGAAGCGTTATTACGTAAAAGTGGTTGGTTAGGATTTTGTTCAAAAAAGCGATCCAAACGTTTTTTGAAATAACCCTTCAGTAATGAAATTAATGTAAATATTGAAAACCAAAGGGTATGAAAAAAACTAAAGTGAATAATAGCATTAATATAAAGTACTGTAAAAATAATATCTTTACATAATACATAACGAATGTACAGTACAACGAAAAGTAAAAACAACAAACAAAATAACAATATTGAAAGGATATATCAGCTAAATAGTTCGGTAAATCTTAAAAAACTCTGGTATACACTGATCACTACTAGTTGTTCAGTGTACGCAAAAACAGTACATCGCATTTAAAATTTTTCAAATATAAAGTGTAAAAAGTATTATACCCACACGCCAGAAGTCATCATTTTTAAATTCACTGAAAAAATAACCAGAGGGATGAAATATTACAGTAAACCAATATGAAAAAGAACATCAGCAATTTGAAAAGGAACATGGATATAACTGTAGTAAGAAATGTTTTCATTTGTGCGATTTACATTCTTTTTTAAAGATAGAATCTGTGAATACATGGATTGAGTTAACTACTACGCTTCATATTATATACCATGTCATGTGATGTTTAAATTTTATGATGATATTTTTAGCACAGGACTGTGCCTAAATTCAACATTACTCCTTTGATATTTTTAATTATGAGCCAAAAATACTTAAGATATTTTCCATCAAATTATCATATTTTTATATTGCATAAATTCAACTAATATGTCTCCCTTAGTGACATATACTCGACCACTGTTTCATAATTGCTATGGATGATCAAATTGGCAAGTATGAAATGATATTCAATATGTCTGAAAGTTTTATTGCACGGGGCCTGAAGAACTACCACAACCATCATCAAAAAACTACAGGTATTTATAAACAGCTGTCTATCCAAGAAAATCTAAATCGATTAGCCAAAGACCATCAGCAATAACCTAATCTGACAGAGAACAAACCAGCTTGCGATTGAGGAGGAAATTAGGAAAAAACACTTTAGAAAAATCAACAAATTGTGTGATAAAGCAAGCCCTAACTTGAAAATGCGGAACAAAAAGAAACAGACCAAACAGAGAATGGAGTGGTGAATTGGAGGTGAACATCAGGAGCATGAATAGAAATTAGCAACAAATAGAGAAAAGAGCCCAAAATAGGGTTGATTAGAGATACCTAGTTAGTGGCCTATGGTCCGCGAGAAGTAACAGGAGTAAGTAAATAAGTAACTAACTTTGTCTATGTTCCAAAATCAAGTGGAGAAAGGAAGTGAAAAAAAACATGACATTATTTCGAAAGAAAAGAACGATCATATATACCATTTAAATCTCTCTAAATTACTGAGAAAAATCGAGAGAGGTTATATGTCACATGATGTTTGCCTTAAACTGTTAGTGTATTACAAATTATTATGACTAATTATACAATAATAATAATAATAACAATAATAATAGTGGTGATGAAATGAAAATGAAATCATTCATCAATCAGGGTATAAGCACATGTACAAACTAAGTTTGAAAAATAAATGTAAAAAACTGGGTTAACACAGAAGCCAAATTTCCGATTACATTATCAGAAAAACTACTGTAGATAATCTCATAGCATTTTTACTTATCAACTTTAAGCCCATATTATAGAAAGTCAGTACGAAAAAATCTATCATACGTTTATGAGAAATATAGATAATCAACAAAACTTCTCAGCACTGTTGCACATCCGTAATTTTCTAGTAAATTCTTATTTTAGTGTGAGTAGGAAATTAAATTCTTAAGAAACAGCGGTGTACCCGTACTGGGAATATATATATATCCAATAAATACAAGACTAAACAAAAAAATTTCGATGGAACTTAGAATAAAAACTCTAGAATGCGTAAAATTTCGCCATTTATTTACAGAGACAACACATTGATTGTTCATTAATAGAATTTGGGAAAATCTGTGCACATAATTCTGATTAAAGATTTGAGATTCAGAGAAACATGAAGTGACAAGGTAGTTGAAGTGCCTAACTTTCGAGGACTTCTAGTAAACTTTTTAACAGTAAGAAACGGAGATAAGTCAAGTGTATTGCCACAAGTGGGGATTATTTTAGAGAGAATAAGATTGATGTACCTCAAACTTTATATAACAAAGTGTGTATAAGTTCTTTTAGGCAGTAGGTATTTTCAATGAGATAGCGAACCATCAGATGAGGAAATTTTACCTTTCATAACCAATTACTGAAAGATTTTAAGAGAAGACAAAAATACACTCTAATGGGAAATCTATAAATACACGCAATAGTGTAGTCTATAAACTATATTATCATTTATCACGTACTAAATATTCCTTCCAATAAAAAGTTTACTGTTGACCTGATTATTTATTGGTCAGAACAGAATAAATCTGAGAGCACTAAAATATTTCAGGCTCTTAAATTGAATATGTTTGATAAGAAACAATAATATATTAAATGGAAAAGTACTAGCTAGTATTATTAACAATGACGATAATGTCAGCAATACTGATTTACCTGAAATGCCCAGAAACATGTATTTTCTACGCAATGATTATAAGCTGGATGGGGAGGGAGTGGAAACAGGAAAACGCCGTCTTCACGAGCGCGTTCTAAGACACGTACACTAACAAATTGTAAATGACCGTCGTAAAATAATATAAGCGGTCGAACAGATACTAATACACGGAAATGTTTAAGAAACCATTGAATAAAAGCATCAGAATTAACCCAACCGGAAGCTGAATATGAAAATTTAGTCCCTCGTACGGATCCTTCCATCATAGATGCTGAAAGATAAAAAATTAATTGTTATGACAACTCATTCTTAGAAATTAAAACTAAATATTTCAAATAAACAGTTTCACGTGATAAGTTCGAGTGATATAAAAATTTGGTAGTCTACTTAATTAAGAAGTCACTTATTTGTTAGAAAGTAACAAGAATAATCAGACATGTTAGACACTTACAAACAGGAGTCAATTACTGAAAGTAAGTAAATTCACCGAGAAATAAATCAATGAACACTTTATAAATATATCAATGACTTTTTAAAATGCAAACTCACGGTTCTGTGAATTTACGTCTACGTACGGACTATGCATGCATGACATTACAAAATAACATCGTAAGCACTGGTTAATAGATTGAGTCCCCCCAAGTAATAAGTCTGGCTCAGATTAACCTAGTGATACAACTTGCTTATACTGAGAAACTATTAACTCCGTTCGGATACAGCACGTACTACATTCTCCTTAACCTCCAATTAGATACAGCTAATCTAAGAGACAAATCTATCGTGGAATATGTATTGGGAGAGACCGAAAATGATGGTTTTTCACAAGTAGCTATTTTGTATGACTACATTCGCAACATCCTTAAAAGTGAAGAATTCCGATGTAAAAAAAATGAAAGGTCGAATTAAAAACAAGATTTAAAAAATACAATGAATAGGAGGTTTTTTGAGGGATTTAATCATTCGCAGCACTCCTTTACAATCAAAGCAGGCTCTGTAAATACTACTATTCTGCATGTAACTGTACTCAAGCTAACTTTGCAACTTTGTGACAAACAACTTGCTGATCATCCTTCAATAAATAAGACACAGAACCATTACATTCCAGTATGCCTGTCGAACGCACTTCGAGAAAGTTATTCGGGGGATGACAAAATTTATTGTCGATTGAATGTTGGTCGGATTCAAGACATTACAAGGATGATTCATTTCTCTGATTCAGCTTTTAGTAAGATAACGTTAGTAAGGATAGTATTAAAGTTCATTGTTTATTACATAGAACCATTCCAAGCTTCAGTTTCCGTTAACCAAAAATATAAGCAAATTTTAACAATGAAATTAATATCCTGAATGTATTTGAAATTGAGATTTTATATGAATTTGATGCCTAATCGACTTTGGTGAACAAACATTGAATGAATAAAAGCAAACAGATTAAAAATGAAAACATGAATTTAACAACTAATCGGTCGTAGCTGTATACAATGAGAGCAAACACTTATTTGAACAACATAATGATTAGATGTTTGAATTATGTAAGACATATCAACAGTGATATATTGAATTAGTCAAACGATTTATGGATTTTGAAATTCAGGAAATATTTCTTAAAGAATGTACATATTATGTGTCTTGACCAATGACCTTAAAAGTGCAATGTTTTAATAAATAACAAAATTTTAGGAAGTTATCAATTAACTTATTCTATAGCGAATAAGAAACGATTGGATGCAAATACATGTTTGAAGTAAATACATACTTTAAAAAATATGAACTTATGATCTTTGAATGGTTATAAAGTGATTGAAAAGAAAAAAACCTGCATCATATGATACACAAAAACTGATCTTTCTTTTTACAAATACCTACATGTTATCCCATCACCTCGATAAATAAGGAAAGGAGGGATTTTTTCACCAACACCGTTAGCAGCTCCAAGCATTGCAACAGTCGGATTCCAATAGCTAACAGATTGAGCTCGTTGTATACTGATGGGAAGAATACGTGGGGGTTGGTTCTCGCAGCTTATGCTTACTTCGTCAACAATCCAAAAATGTTCGGCCTTGTCTTTGATCCCATATTTATTTAGAACCTATAAAATTATCAAAAAGGCAATTCAATCATCGAATTGGTGGAAGATGTTTATTGTTTAATTTGAAAAGAGATCGAAGCGACAATCATGTTATGTTCAGTTTACAGCACATCTTTCTGAATAACTTATATTTACGATGAAAATTGTCACCAAATTACTATTTGGAATATCTAATAAAAATGAATTACTTATTATTTAAAAAGATGGTTGAGTGTAATGGAGTGCAAACAGTAACGGTGTTATTAGTACTCAATTAATTAATTGAAGGGGGAAAAAAATCTGTCACTGAAAACGATTTATTTGTCTGTAGTTTGTTAATCTTATACAATCAACTTGTAAGAGCTAGAGGAAAGTAGTTTGAAGATTGAAAACGCGAAAATGTTTAAAGGATGAGTCAGTCATTTATTATCAACGCAGTGTATGCCACAGATGTGCGTTGGTTCATGTCGCCATACCGCCTTGGCAAAACAAGATGAACGAATTCATCAGAACGTAATAATAAGCTGACTGATTAAAAATTTACATTATATTGACAAATGTATTGTTGGTTTATATAATAGTCATATTTACATTTTACACTTTTTATATAATAACTTATATTTTGATAGACCATAAGGCTTTGAAGGTAGGTAGTATTTGAGAATAGATTTTAGTAAACCATCATCGGCATCTAGGTCTTTCTAAGTGAAACAGACTTTTCTAAAAATTGTCATAAAAATGTTCCTAGTTAGAAAAGTGATGTGAAAAACATATTTTGTTTGGCAATGTCAGGGGGTATAATTACACTATGGTCGTAAGAGGAATCGTTAATACCAAATTTTAGACATTATTGGGAGGCGAAGTAAGTAGTCAGGTGATATATTTGATTATAAATATCAAGGTAGCGTGGATTACACAAAGCCTGATTCATTGATGTTAAGTCATATGGTATGACCTAACCGGGTTAGTGCCTATTTACAAACAAATGCACCACAGGTAATGTATCGAGTGCTGAGCAGCACTGTATAGTAGACAACAAGAGAACGATAACTTGAGATTTAAAAATATTCAAACATACCTTTTCGAGCTGTTCAAAATAGGATTGTATAGAATCACCTGAAACTCCCTTAGATTTTCGATTACTTCGAGGTCCGAACAAGAAATTTTTTAGGTCTGGCCATCGATTAAGAAAAGCATAAAACCAGGCCTGACTTGGATTAAGGTATTTAAATGGAGCGATCCGCCCGACCGCTTTAGTCATGTCTCCAGCCAGTTCGACTACCTTAATGGAGAAACAATAAACGTGATTAGGATCGCTTAATAGAATGGTAAAAATTAGGAAATCAACGTTCGGATCTAACCCAACAAATCTTAACTGAAAATCGAAGGTACGATAGATGTTAGTTATTACGATACTTTAATAAGCAGTGCCGGATGTACAAATGGAAGAAGCAGGGAAATTGCAGCCAAAAATAACTCTCCATATATATATATATATATATATATATATATATATATATATATATAATTTAGCGAAGAGTTAGCTTAAGGTCATTCTACCCTTAATTCTTAAAATTAAGATGGGTACGAGCAAAGTTAGTTTTGGAATTCTGGATTTTGGTGCAGCGGGTCTTTTAACATAGATGAAATCAAAATGTCGCCAATATATTGTAGATTAGGAACACTGATTATAACGTTAAGTAACTAAAAATAATCAAGATAAGGAAAACCAGTATAGATCTTGCAGTTGCCAAGCCGTTACTCCATGATGATAAAAGAATACAACAGTAGGACCACCATTAATTCTGATTCTGATATATTTTGATGGAACTTCATATCATAGTTTTGTGGTTTTTGTAACCTTAGCCCAAAAACGTGAAGAGCTGAGAGGTACTAGATTCACACAAGTATTTTTACATCAAGGTATAATATTATTAACGAACAGCTCTTAACTTTTAATGACAGTTACATGTTATTAAGCAGTACATCATTTGAAAACTAATGGGAAACTGTACTACACAGTCCGAAAAAGAACTTCAGTAATTAAATAACGGACTCAAGAGTACACTAAAAAATCACAAACCCTCAACATTTTTTACGGTGCTGCAGTTAAATTCAAGAATTACCATGGGAAATCAGTACTGAAATATCGAGGGCTGTCGGACATCTTTATCATAAGGAATTCGTGTCTCACGGCATTAGAACAAAATTACAAGCAATGAGGCAGTAACTCATTTGTAGTTAAATTAACTTGGCAAATCTGTGAAGATGGTTGAAGTTATCCACGTCTTGGTTTCAAAACATAGGGAATTCTGTTTTATAAACTTCTATTAAAATAAAATATCCAGAGGTATAGGGTTTCGAATTATTAAGACAGTTTACCATAAAACACTAGTATAGTCACAAGCTCCTACCGGCCACTGAAAGTAATTTGCTTTCCAAGTACGTACTATATTTAAAGGCGATTGCTAAGTACAATTTGAGTAAAATGTTGTTGCGCAATGCATTAATTTATTATCTTCCGAAATTCGAACACAGAATTATTGGACACTATCCACTAACTTCTGAATTGTATTTTGCCTAGTGAACCTACCAATACCATTTTCATTTTCATTTCCTAGTATTTATCGAGGTAATCTGCCGCTGTGTTGGTGTGAATTGTGCCAATAAAAACCTGAAATAGGTCCTCCATTATTTTAGGTGTTACTGAGTAATGGGAGGGTGTAGTCTGAATCATCAAAGTTGGTAAATTTCCTTACATAATACGGTTACACACCTACCTATCAAACACTTCATTCTGTAGTTTCTTTCAGAAAATTATAGTATAACAAGAGGAATTAGTAAACCTGTTTAACCCTACTTCTGGTTTGGGATAATAAACTGAGGTGACTAAACGTTTATAATCTACCTACTTGAAATCCCTGTGTACTAGAACGGTAAATACTAATAATCTATTCAATTTGTAGCTAGACTATCAGAAAATAAAGATCAACTCAACTTCTTTTGAGAGCGTTTATTAATAAGTACAGAAGCTTGTTATAATATTTGACACATGAACCAATATTCTAGATGACGGCTTTATTACCAATCGTTTTTGAAGATATAGATTTCCCAACAAACTGTCAGTGTCCTGGTGGATCTTGATCGTTTCGATCATCCTAGTGCGTAATAATTTTCACAGCATAATAAGTATATAAAAAGTCCCTCCATTGTTAATTCTCTTGTTTTCAAACCAAACACGGAAAGAATCTAAAGCTATGTACACATACTAGTTCTGACTTAAATAAATCTTAATGCGAACTAATGAGTTGAAAACGTACAAGCACAAGTTTCAAAAATAATCCGCTGGGGCTGATAACGAATGAAATCCAAAGATGATCATTGTTATGGCTTTATCACAACGACATGTGAAAGTGTCCAGTTGTGTAACACCCCATCAATATTTATTCATTTAGGTAACCAACTGATATAACCATGTACGTTTAGCTACAGCAGAACTTATTACAATTCATTCTTTATACTATCGGGTGGGCAAATGAGTGAAAATTAGAGAAAGACGCTGTGGTGTTTCGGTTCTTAAGAGTTCAGCTAGACATTAACAATGCAAAAATTGGTAGGAAAGTTTGTCAGTTAAAATCGCCACAATTTACATCGGCACAACAGGAAGTTAAAGGAAAAAGAGAAAAATCCATAATAATTGTGGAAGTAAAGAAGAAAAACTCGAACTGTTATGGATTTGAAACAATGATATGTAGTGAGTGGACTTTGGATTAGTAAAATGAATGCATGAATGTTGATGGATAGACGAAAGCAACAATACAATATGGCCGTTTGATGGTTACTCACGAGACATGATTATTAATTCAACCCATCGGATGAATTTCTATCAAAGACAAGACCAAGAGCCAGAAGAACAGATTTTCTATTCAGTAAAATTACCTGTTTCTTTATAAAACACTCATTGTAAAAATAAACATAGAAGTCCACTCACATATAAGTGATTGAAAATGGGGATCTCGTAGGCTACTTAAGTATCAATAAAATTAAGCTTAGTTCATGTTCAACATAAAAAATTTAACAATATAAGAATGTGTATCAATATACGTACTTGATTTCGGGTATATGGGTAACCGATTTTACTCATGAATAAGATATGATCCACCATCTTCTTTTCCTCTTCATAGGTGAAAAATGTTGGGGGGCCTGGTCGAGAGCATTCTAAACTGACTCTTCCATGAACTCTGTCACGAAGAGTAGATTCGGGAACATTAAAGGCTGTCGCAGCTCCACGAAGCGACATTCCCTGATACTTGACTGCGTTGTACGCGTTTGTCATGTCTCGCTGAGTCCATCGTCTTCTTCTTGTCTGAAATAGCAAATCATATTAAGAGATCTGCATTTGATTACTTTAGGTCTTTGAAGACTTCGTCCTGAAACTGAGTCAAAATTGCGATAAAAAAGTATTTGTTGATGGTAGTCGTTGTAAGTTTCTGCTGAGTTTAGCATATCTGTATCTTCTTTGTCTTCCCCTTCAAATGCATCGTCAGAATATGATAAGTCTTCGTCTGTTGCCATGGTAGCTGACTGAGAGAAAGCGGAGTGTAAAGGCTAAAATTTTACCAGAAAACAAATAAAAATGAGGAAATATATTAACCAGTCATATATTTTTTATAAAGAGTTTATGCCTCATACATAACTCAGCGTATAATTTATGAATAAGAGTTTCAGCTAAAACACACGTATAATTAAAAGCTTTATATTTCCACTCAGATCCTTAACATATGCCAAATTAACTTCACGGGACAGAAATTGTATTCTAGCATGACGCCTTAAGAGCAACTGAAAGATATCCTTCATTATTTCTACATGACCTTAAAACGTTAGGATCGTTTAGGGTTAAATCTCTATCTACTGTTAAAATATAAGTAGCACAAGTTATTTTTTAGAAAGAAGCACGCAACAAGATTTCATTAGTGAGTTAGACTTCCAAGTGGAAAATTAAATTCAAATACAGAACAAACGTTTATAACACATGGATAGCGTAAGCAACAGATAGTATTGAAGTTGTAATTATCCTCCTGTCTTTGCTTGGTACATTGTGCCAGGTTTTATTTCCAGAACAATGATTCCATAGAAATAATGCTAAGACAAATTGTGTTACAATTTACCGGTGTAATCGTTAAATAAGTTGGATACTTGAACACGTACACTGAATAATACTGTTCGTATACTAAGACAAGTTTACCGCCATAAACAATGATATTTTGTCCGAAGTTAAATTTAGTAGCCATGGAGTTCCGAATAGCAAGTTATTTATTGTATCGACAAGACCGAACGAAACTACGCTGTTCACACTATAATAAGTGGGTTTTAATCAATGACAAAACTGCTCAGCAACTCCAACAAAATATATGAATTTCGAAACAACTAGGGGAACTCAATCAATTCGAGCAGTTTGGTAACTGTTCAGTTCAGAGATAGCCGATCAATATGGTGGAAGCTTATAGAAATCGTTAATTAAGACAATGTATTCCAAACAAAGCTTAAACTTTAATAGATTTATTAAACCTTCTCTTTCACTAAATAAAACGACTATTTGGAACAGAATCGACAACCAACAAGTATGATACTAGAAAATGAACATGTACAGACGAACCAAACCTACGTGAAATTATTTTACACAGTTCAAATAAATAAGACAAATACGGAGAGGTGGAGTTTCTGCCTAGAAGCGTTAGTTGATTTATTTACTTTAAATGAAGCAATCATTTAGGAACAGAGTACCTCTTAAATGACTAAACAGATGAAAATATCTACCTTCTGCAGATAACTGACTATGTTTGAAAGACGGGAAACCTGTATGATTTGGCTGTGTATGAAGCTTACTTTATGTCTGTTTCCAAAAGGCTGGTTGAAAAACATCTGTGTTTGACATTTGTTGAAACTTATCGGTGACCCAAGTAAAGTTAACAAAAGCTTCAGTAAAACATTTATCGACTTGCAATGTTTCCAACAGTCGAAATGCGGAGTTTCAGTCAGATTAAATTAACATTCGCAACATACAAATGAAAGTAAGCAACGACGAAAAAGTATTTTCATGAAAATTTCACACTTATTTAGTGCTTTGAAAAATATCATGAACAATGCAAGTGAACTAAAATAACCAGAATACGTATTTTGCTTTGGGATCGATAAACGACGACTGAGTTACAATAGACTTTCAGAAGACATTTTGGACGAGCAGGTGGGTCCAGTGACTTAAGTTAAGGTAAATAAGAGGATTCACAAAACTAGAATGAAGAGTGTCAAATAAATGAAGATATTTATATCAGGTTTTTGAATAAACACGATCCTACCGCATAGATTCTTGAACAAGAATAGTACAAGTAGTGAAACTTGAAATTTCACATTCTATCTGACGAAGGAACCCGAGCAAATAGTTAGGCACAAAATGCTAGACTGTACACAAATACCAACTCAAAGCTACTTTAGACAATACCACTTACTAAAATGCTTTAGAACGAATTGGTTGGTTACTGAACATTCACGTAGCGATATACTCATTTGGACATATCTTAGGAAAAATGACGAAGAACAACCGTTATGGATACATACAACTTCTTAGGTGCAGAAGTAATTACGCATGCAAATCCTAGTGGAAGTCATCTGGCCGACAAGTGTGTCAGCGCACTAAAGCTTCTTCGAAACACCTCTAAATCACGTAGCGCGATATTACTCAATACAAGTACTAGGTATTCGAATGATATAATGGCCACTGGCAGCAGTTATGTATGACCAATTAGATAAGCGGTAATATATTACGTACGTACATCAGTGAGCCATAAGGTAACCAAACTCATCAATGAGAACTGTTAATTCATTCAAAGAATTACTCTCGCGTACACAAACTGTTCGAGAAAATGTAGACATATAGTAAAAAGGCAAACTTAAACAGCAAAAGAACCTTTACCGAAAATTAGTAGAACTTTTAAAAGTGCCACATTCCTACAGCTCTGACTTTAGGAAAAAAGAAAAACAAATGCGGAAGCAAACAAAATCCCAGATTTAAAAATATAAATGCCTGATAATTTACATAAAATACAATATACTAGAATGTTGAATAAAATATTGCTGATGCGTAGATATACTACTGTGTTGGGAACTGTTGCGATCTTATAATATCATAAAAATAAAACAGGCATTTTATATGTAGCGTAATTGATGCTTTTTTATGAAATACTTTAGACAATCTGCACCCTTCGTAATAAATTTGAAGTTTTACGCCAACTGTGACAAAAATACGTTTGAAGGAAACATTGCACTGGTAAGATTGAAGCGCATTTTTTGGCCAGTTTGTCGGAAAAACTTTCCACATAATCCTCAACAGTTTCATTCTTCCCCATTCAGAGTACGGAAACATGGTATTTCCCTTTTCATTTCAAAAGGATAATGACACTCTGGAACGTGTCCAGTGGCGAGCCATGAAATCAGTTCGGGACTCAAATTCAAGCCTTATGAAGAGCAACTTTATTCACTAAACCTTTGTCCATTAGAGTAAAGACGTCTTAGAGGTGACCTAATTGCTTATAGTATCCTTGACACTTCTGGACACCCCCTTAAGCATCTACTCACGCTTAGCTCCATCAAAAACCTAAGGAACAACACCCAGAATTTGGAGACACAACACAGCAGAACGGATTCTAGTCACAACTTCTACTCCTTAATGGTTATCAAATGCTTGAATTCAATACCGACTGAGCGACTTCCCAGGAGTCCTTTGAGAGAAAACTTCACTTAATCTTAGGAACTAAAGATAGTATTTTACTACGAATTATCAATTTCTTTTCTCTCTTTCACTGATGATGTACCTAGGTTCCTGTCTCGAGGTACTGGTGACCCACTTCATTGTTTTTTAAGCGCAGATAGCATGCATGTGCACAGAGAGTATTTCAGAACAGACAGCGTATCAAGTTCTGCAGGACCCTTGTGGTTCGGGATAACGTAATTTCTGACAGCCTTGAAAACATCGCAAAAAAGCAGAGCCTAGTTAAACATAACTGTAGAAAAAAGCTATAGCAACCTTAGTTTAAAATCTAAGACAATCTAGATAAGCGGATAATTGTGGAGGTTGACTTAGACACTAGTGCACTTGCTCACTCAAAATCAGAAATAATATGGTTGGATAGGGGACAGTTCTATACAAATATTACTACCCAGTTGCTCAGGAAATAAGCAAATCAGTTCCAATAAATAAACCTTTCTATCGATACAGGATTATTATTCTATTCTCTCTGGTTTTATCGAACACAGAATAATTAGTATGAAATATTTAAATTTGTCGCAACACTAAAAGTTTCCAGAATAGTAAGTGCGTTCCAATTCATGACGAAAAGTACACAATTCCATTCAGTTCAAGCAACACAGCCAATAAGTAGAAAGGGTCAATATGGTAGCCACCATAACCAAAATAACAGGTAAAACAACATGAAAATTATCAAGAAACACAGAAAGTCAGTGGAAACGCAGCAAAAGCCAGCACTAAAACAAAAATTAAATAGTAAATTCTAAGCTATAACCAAAGACTCGATGGTGAGTACGGTTAAATAAGGATTAGGAAGGAATTACAAGTGTGTTCATACACATTCACACACAACCCCGAAATAAGAACATATATTGGCACGGAACACCACTCCATATAACATAAGGTGACTCCAATTCCTCCAGTTTTGATTTATCCCATTAAATCCTCGAGCTTAAGGAGTGATCAGAACGCTTATCCATACTTCCTACACTCATATATACTGCTCACTAATCAAAGGGACAAGTGTATATCTTCTGACTACCCAAGTACCATGAGGACTGTCATGGTCCTAACCTTCTTATAGTTATCTATTTCGCTGCGTTCTACTATTTGTTAAGACATCTTACGATGAATCGAAATGTCTAATGCTGCAATCACTAAATTGATGTGTTTAGAGGGATATGAAATATCCTATTACCACCACTTCCCAAACAAACTAGCGAGATGACTAACCTGTTTCCAATGTCTTCCATACTTATCTCCACTGGTATCTTCGACTATTCCCTTAGTAATAGCAAACTATTAGGGGGCAAAGTTTGTTTATCTTCAGCGTCTTGGATCGATAGCGTTTATGATCAATTGTTTAGCAACCCTTCAAATAAACCGAACAGATGGCAAAGGTCTCGACAGTCAAAGTCTGTTTCCTGATCACCAGTGATACCATGCTGAGTATAGACTGAATCATCATTTCCCATACTATACCCAAATGGCTGGGCGATGTTGAGCTGAGGTACCATTTGGACCTGTTTCATTGCTAGTTCGTTGCTTGCTTTCCGTTGTACAAATGTTCTTAGCTCCGAAAACGTACACACAAAATTCGACCCATTGTCGCTTTTAATTTCTGCAGTCCTCTCTTTTCCTCATATAAGACGTGATAGAAACGTCATAAGTGAATAAGTGTTTAAATTGTTATTTCTTTATGCACAACTCGATCTATAATTTTTTTTGAATAATCTTTCTCTCTTTACCACGAAACGTCAAAATTAGTCCACTATCATAACGGTAAAGCTTTACTAGAGCGGAGCAGTGAAACCATGTGTTGTTTCATATACATTCACTCTGAACGCGAGGAGATTGGTAGATATATTTGATGACTATCAATATATCGAGAATTGGCTGATCTAATCTGGCTAACGATTGCAGTAGATGTTGAGCACGGCGTTTCCACTCGTGATCTGGTGCAGATGCCTAACCGAGCGCCTTCAGCTAGATGAGTCCACTAAAACATATGGTCAGCATCCAATGTCGAAAACTTAGAGCTATTTATTTTGGGGATTTATTTACCGCTACAGATCACTCCTCCCCTAGTGGGGTAGTGGTGACCCTAGAACGTGGCCAGCCAGAAGTTTAAACCCAACGAGTTTTATCGTTGGTAAATACTCTTCTGACAGCTTGCTAAGTTCAGAAGCGTCTGGTCCTCTTTCCTTACCATAAGGGACATGAAGTACAATATAGTAAAAAAAATGATGTACAATGAACATTTTTTGTTCCTCGTAAACCTCATCGTTCTTTTTATCGACTTTTCCAGCCGTCCTGGAAAAGAAAAAAAGAGTATGTAAGTGCATGTCGAAAAAACTCGTACGCGCCTTATTACACAGAATGGGCAAAAAGTGTAAATAACCTAAAAGCGAATTTCACGAAATGTTTTTTATGTTTTTTCTTAAAAAATGTTTATAATATACATATTAGCCAAATAACAAATATATATAAATATAAGCATATTAAAATATTTTTTATATATTATACATAATGCCATGGAAAATCTAGATGAAGCAAAATGTTAACTAGTTTCTTACGTTTCAAATGTTCTGGCAATCTTACTCTTCTTCCAGAACGTGTTGTTTTAAGTTTATTTTCAGATACTGTTGAAGTATTATCGTGCGTGTTGGTTGTCGGACGGGGTATTATAAGCGTCGGAGTCGTGTCGTTCGATTGGATAGGATTTCCTCCTAAATACGCTGCTTTCAGGCGATCGATGCTGATGCTATCGTTGGTTCCGTTCTTATCGACTATATAGTACTTAGATTCACGTTGAAGAACTTTGAAAGGTCCTTCGTATGCTGATTCGGAAGGTCGTCGATGCGAGTCTCGACGTACGAAGACGTGTGCGCTATATCGTATGTCAGGTTGAACGAAAACATCAGTTAATTGAGGTCCAGTGGAAACAGGGTTAACTGAACACATTGCGTTTATAAGCCTGTTCGTGTAGGAGGTTAGATCCATGTTCATTGAAGAGGATGAAGGATCCACAAATTCTCCTGGAAGTCGAAGTGTCGTTCCATAAACGAGTTGAGTCGCAGTGTATCCAATGTCAGCTTTCACTGCATTGCGGATACCTAGTAAGACGAGTGGAAGAGCGTCGGTCCACTGTGAAACGTTTGCAGCTGATAGTGAAGCTTTTAGTTGTCGGTGAAAACGTTCTATCAACCCGTTTGCTTGTGGATGGTAGGCAGTCGTTCGGAAGCGAGTGGTTCCTAAAAGTGTGGTCAGACGACGGAAAAGTTCAGATTCGAACTGACGTCCGCGGTCTGTAGTAATGGTTGAAAGGCAGCCGAAGTTTGCTACCCATCGTTCGACGAAGGCGCCAGCCACTGTTTCAACAGTGATGTCCTTGATAGGTACTGCTTCTGGCCATCGAGTGAAACGGTCTACGCAGGTTAAGAGGTAAGAGTATCCATTTGAATCTGGTAAAGGTCCTACCAAATCCAGATGAATATAGTCGAAACAAGCGTGCTCACTCCCTCACGTCTGTATTCATTCCAGGCCAGCAAAACCGTTCTGCTATAAGCTTGATGGTTGCACGAACACCTGGATGAGAAAGTTTGTGCAATGTGTTGAAGACATTGCTTCGATGATGTTTCGGCACGATTGGGCGATCCCTACCTGTAGATGTGTCACAAAGTAAGGTTTCCTTACCTGTTCCCATCTGTTTGATGCGTAGTTTAAGTGTTGTGGACGATAACTCGTGCTGAAGATCAGTGTCTTCTTTTTGAAGCTCGGCGAGTTTAAGAAGGTCGATTCCTTGGAAACTGTTCAGGGAAGTTATTCGAGACAAGGCGTCTGCAACTACATTATTTGCTCCAGAAATGTGTTGGATGCCTGAAGTAAAGTGAGAGATGTAGTCCAGTTGTCGAGACTCACGGGGAGAGTACTTGTCTGAAGTGGAGCTTAACGAGAAAGTAAGAGCTTTATGGTCAGCAAAAAGGGTGAATTCACGGCCTCCGATATAGTGTTGAAAATGCCGTACAGCACAATACATAGCTAGGAGTTCCCTACCGA